GAAGAAGAAGAAGAAGAAGAAGAAGAAGAAGAAGAAGAAGAAGAAGAGTCCAAATTGGAAGAGAGGTGTAAAAAAAAAAAAAGACAAGTTGCCGCTATGATCATGCAATTGAAGTCCTGTCCCTTTTGTACATGCATTGACAGATGTAAAAAGAAAAGGTCAATGTTTCAATTGCACTATTGCGGCCATAATCTTAACCTTTTTTTGACACACATACACTGGATAGCCCTAGATACCAGTATCTACTATTATCTACTGTATTTTGAGTAGCATACTCAGTAGGCCGAGATCTTTTCCATCAGCAGACTCAGAAATGGGCACCTGCTGATCTGAGTAAGCAGCCTAATTTCAAAAGCCTTTTGCAAGCAAGCCAATCTTCTATGAAAAATAACCTGTCTCTTTCCTGGCAACTGGAAATGGATTGTTTCACCACTGCTGACATATCACATCCCCTCCTACATACCTGTAGGAATTCAGCTCTTAACACACACACACACACACACAAACACACACACACACACACAAGATTATATTCTCCTGTCTTAACAGGCAACTCCAGGAAATGCATGGGTACCTGGTCTCATCCTTCATTTTCTTGCTTTGTGATCTAAAGTTATGTATTCTTGTTCATCAGCAATTATTTGCAGGGGAAAAAACCCCAAATAATTATTTCCCCTTCCCCCTTCTTTCTCTCTTTCTAATATAGAAAAATGTGGTCAGTTACCATTTACAGCCAGAAAGTTAATAAAAAGTATTACTAGCATCAATTTATACGAAAAAGTGATTGCTAGTAATACATTTTATTAACTTTTCTTATACTGTCAATGTATAGAAGGTCAAGTTCAAATGGTACTTAAACATAAAAGATTGGTTTTATTTTGTTATTACAGTTTTCGGTATTATAGCTTACAAGGTAAAACAAGATCTGTTTAGCAAGTCACTAAAGTGATTGGAAAGCATATGGATACTTTGCTGATATGGAAAAGGGAACGCTCCTATTAAAACTGGCACTAAGGAACTAAATTCTGCTCTAGGAATAAAAATCAAGTCTTTTCCATTCCAGCATATGAAAAGATAATGTTGGATATCAAACCAGATAAGGATCAAAAGCTTGATATTGGCCATAATTAGCCATGTGGCAACAAATGTTACACAACCCACACACATTGCAGACATCTTTCATATAGGGTAAAATTAAGCAAATATATTGTCTTCAACAAATGTCTAAATTTAGACAGTGAATTTTAGCAACATGATACCAGGTTTTATCAATATAATTAAAATGTTAATCATTTTCAAATGTACGTTCTATGGCAAGATATTTGTGTGTGATTATGATGATCTTGGGTATAATTACCTGACAATAACTTTCACTAACCTCAGAGGTAGTGTTTATTCTTTACAAATAAACTGGAATTGTAAAGCACATGGAGGGTTAGTCAAAAGATCTTTCAGTCAGTACAAATACGTTTCTTTTGATTTTAATTAGAAATGCAGGCTTGCCATTTAAATGACAATTAAGTAAAAATCCCATCAAATTGCAATTTTGTCTGCGTATTTGTTTCTATGCTAATTGCCACAAAACACAACTAAAACTTTAGCAAATCACTAAAGTGAACAAACAGCATACTTTATTTATTTGTTTGTTTGTTTGTTTATCCTTGAATTCTATCAATTATTCTGTTTCTGAGGAAGATGTAAATGAAAAGACCCTCCAGGATTCTGTTCTCATCATCCATTGCCCCTTCAGTACACCTGCTAAAAAGCAATAGAAAAATGATCCACCTCAGTGTATGAAGTCAGTGAACTTCAGCAGCATAATGTCCAGAAACTGGACATCCAGCCTTACTATTGGGATATGAAAAAAGAAAAAAAAACACTATATAATAAGCCAGGAACTTAATGTAAAAATAACAGTGTTTACAATATTAAACCTAACACCATAAGGGAAAAAATAATCACAATACAAAAATGAAAAAAACCTGGGGAAAATACAGATAATTGCTACCCCAACCAGCACATTTTGTCTCACTGCCCTGTTTACTTTTCTTGCCTTCTTCACCTTACCTCACCCCTTGCTAAATACTAAGTGTAGACATAAGGCTGTCCAACATTTCTTGTAACAAGTTGCTGGAAGGGGGGGGAGGTGTGTGTGTGCGTGTATGTGCGCGCGCGTGTGTTACGTGTGTGTGTGTGTGTGTGTGTGTGTGTGTGTGTGTTAAGGAGCTGCATGTCCCAGATGCCTCCAAAGCAGGAGGAGTTAAGAAAAGTCCACCCCTCCCCAGCCTGTCACACAACAGGTAGTCCTTGACTTACAACACTAGAGCCCAAAATTTCTGTCATGAAATTGTTGTGAATTTTGCCCCATTTTATGACCTTTTCTTGCCACGGTTGTTAAGTGAATCCCTGCAGTTGATATGTTAGTAACCCAGCTGTTAAATGAATCTGGCTTCCCCATTGACTTTGCTGGTCTCAAAAAGTGATCGCCTGAACCTTGGGACACAGCAGTGGCCATTAAGTATGAACCAATTGCCAAGCATCCAGATTTTGATCACGTGATTAAGAGGATGCTGCAAAGGTCCTAAGGGTGAAAAATGGTCCTTCCTCACTTTTCTTCCCAGGGCCGTTGTTACTTTGAACGTTGCCTAAAGGAACTGTTGTAAGTCGAGGACTACCTGTATTTGCAGCAAAAAAAGTGGAAGTGTTTTCTGTATGGGCGCCATCTAGCGGCCCCTCGAATCATCGCAGCCCGGATCCCGAGAGCTTGAAATCTTCCAAAGCGCCCCCGAGTCAGCCCGTCGCGCTGCCTACCTCTTCCACCAGCGTGGCCAGCTGGTCAAGGGTGGCTACCGACAGGTCTCCATATAGCAGTTGCCCGGGGGCGGGAGGCGAGCGCAGCGGTCCGGATGCGAGGCGCAGCAGGAAGACCCCTTTGGAAGAGCGGCCAGCGGTGGGCGCCAAAACCAGCTCCTCGGCCAGCGCCAACTGCCCCGCTGTCCCTTGAGTGACAAACAGAAGCCGCCCGGCTGGCTCGCTATCCAGGAAGGCGCGCAGCAGCAGCCGCGCTTCGGCAGATTCCAGGCAACGCGCCCAGCGCTCCGGCTCCACTCTCAAGCTGCGCGCCACCCGCTCCCCAAGCAGCCGGGCGCGGGGATTCGCTTCTGGGGAGCCCTCCTGGTCCGGGTCCTGCTCCTCCTCTTTGCTCCCCATGCCGCCGGCTCTCCGTTTCCCCGAGTGTTTTGGTCGGCGCGGCTGTTGCTTGGGCGACCGGGACGCTCCTGAGCGGGAGTGGGAGGGACCGGCTGCAAAAGTCAGCTCTGACAGGCTGTCCCGCCTCTTTCCTTCGTTGGCGGACGGAGCACCTGAGAGGAGAGAAACCCGCAGCTCCCGGCATGTCCGGGTGGATTCCCAGCTCTTTCCCTGATACGGTCTAGGGCCTAGGCAGAAATGATCGGGAAAACAAGCCAGGAACTGCCCGGAGAACTCGAGCCAAAGGCAATTTGCTGCTTCTCGCTTAGCAGAATAACAAAAGGGACCTTGTAGGTCATCTAGTCCAACCCCTTCAAGCAGACCCTTCACTATTTCTGACAGGTGGCACTCCAGTCTCTTTTGAAAGCTTCCAGCTTAGTACAGTCAGTCCTCAACTTACCACAATTGAGCCCATAATCGTAGTTGTTAAATGACAAATTTGTGAAGTGAGTTTTACGACCTTTCTTGCCAGAGATGGGAAGTGAACCACTGCAGTTTGCATGGTGGTTAAAATGAATCCGGCTTCCCCATTGATTTTGTTTGCCAGAAGCCTGCAAAAGGTGATCACATGACCCTGGGACACAGCTATGGTCATAAGAAGGAACCAGTTACCAAGCATCTGAATTTTGCTCACGTGGTTATGGGGATGCTACAAAGGTCGTTAAGTGTGAAAAATGGTCACAAGTCACTTTTTTTCAGTGCTGTTGTAACAGTGCAGTTCACTAGATGAACTGTTGTAAGTTGAGGATTACCTGTACATGGGTTCTAAAAAACAATTAAGTTTGCTTTAAGGCAACTGGGGGTCTTTCAGTATCTTGTGGCTAAGCAGATCGGTTTAGTATCTACGAGCCAGGCTAGGTTCATACAAATCTATCAATCGATCTCTGCCTAACAGTCACTGTTGACTCCTTGTGACTGCCTGGGCATCCCTGTGGGTTGTCATTGCCTGCTTCTTAATTTGACTGGCCCAAGGGCACCCAGTTGGCTTTGTGCCTAAGGCAGGTCTAGAACTTAAGAGTCTTTCTGTTTGCAGCCCGGTGCCATAACCACCACTGTAAACCAAACTAGCTCTCGGGTTCATACAATAGAAGCTAAAACTAAATAAATGCAAACTACACCCTTTTGTGCTGCCTACAAAGAAAGTCAGTAAAGAGCTTCCGCTTCAATTCCTCACTTTCAGCACCAAGGATTTGTTTCTCAGTCTATGCATAGGGTACTAGACTGGGCAAAGGGGGTAGCTCTCGTCCAAAAAAGAAAGAATCCAGGGCATTTCATTCATGTCCAGCAATAGTCACGTTATTATTGTTGTGAGAAGGAAAAATATTTCAACAGCTTCACTAGAAGTTGGAATTTCTTTTTATCACCTTTTTCAGGCTTTTTCAGCCACTAATCTCTTAATATACAGGAAGGACACTGATGCTATCACTTGATGCTCTCTGAGCTTGGTTGCTTTCTTGCAGTAATTTTATTTTTATTTGTATGTGGCCCATCTCTCCTATAAAGTGACTCTGGGCAACATAAAATGATGCTGTTACCTAGTTTTGGAAATGAAATATCTGCAAGGAAACAACCAAGCTTGGAGAGCACCAAGGAACTCTTAATTTCAAACCCTGAGCTACAAATATTTTCCTCTTTAGGAAGGACACTTTTCACTCTGCTCATTTTAATTGCCTTTAGATTCACTTTCGGGACTATCCAAAGACTTACATTAGGACAGATCTCTGGAGATCACGTCCAGAAAGGAGAGCCAGCCACTCGACCCCTACAAATTATAAAGGCCATGTGGCATGTTTCTGGAACTGGACACCATTCTGAATTGTGACCATTCCAAAAATAATGCCCACTTCTGGAATGGTGCTATGCAGCCTTTGTGTAAGAAGGCTGCCCAGTAAACTGCTTCCTAAAGATCTATTGGAAAGTGACCAAACCATGATGGGGAGTGGGCAGGATGGGGTGGGACCCAGCAGCGACAAGACCTGCAGGGACCCAGTGGGGCAGGGAGTGGAGCACGGAATGCCTCAGGGGGTGAGGGAGGCCCTGAGAGGCCTAGAGCAGGCCAGGTGTAAGCTGGTGAAATGCTGCAGTGCAGAAGTAGCCCTGCCACCCAAGGCATCCCATGCTCCACTTAATGACAACAGGGAGTTCAGAAATCAGAGTCATTAAGTGAAGTGAGCATGAGTGCCTCACTTAACAAACATCACAACTTGTGGGCGTAATAGGCAGGTTCCATTATGGCCAAAAGTCAAGGACCACCTGGAGGAGGATGGAGGACTGAAATTCTCAGACTGGTGAGATATCAATTTAATGAATAGTGCGATCTTTAATCATGCCTGTTCCTTTTAAAGACTTACCAGTAGTAAGTGATGAGGGGCCTATAGCCACCCAAGTGTTTCTTGATCCCTAACTCTAATCATTTTGTTTTGCTTTTGGTGGCTGACATGATAAAGAATTTGAGTTTCTTTTGGGGGGAATAATACAATGAAAAGTTAGTTTGTACTTATTTTAGGTGGTTAGTATATCCCTATGAAACGTCTAACTTGCAGTAATATAGCTGAAGATATTTTAGGACAATCTGCATTCAATGTATCCATGCTGTACATTTTATTTACTGGGTCCTTGAATTTAAAAATATGAGTATTTTAAATGTTGTGCTATAAACAGCCTCATAGGAAGAATGCTGCAAAATTGATTTTAGATAAACAGTGACAACTCCAGAAGTGTATATAATCACAACACTACAAGCTTATTGAGCTTAAAGGTTGTTTTTTTTTAAAAAAAAAGAAATTAACCATTATTTTTCTCAATGACCATATAATAAAATATTTTCAGCAGACGGGAAAATGAGCCATCGGATCAGTGTTTCCAGATAATGCAGCTGGGAAGTACATTTTGTTAGCTATGCTATTAACATGTTCAGTAGGAACTCTGCTTTGTAGTGGGAACACAAGCAATTTATCCAGAGCCAACCATCTGGCAAAGTTCAATGCATCGATACCTCCTAGAGTCTTCAGCCTCATACATATCAGATGTCATATGCTAAAGTCACTCTCCCTGATAGAACAGCAGCTACCTTGCTGCTTTGCTTAATTGGTAGTTTTAAGTTTTTTATTTGGTGCTCCAACAGAATCCTCTGTGTGTTCCAATTTCGTTTTGGCTGGTGATCTGTTCCCCACAACAGTCTGGGAAGCTTTGTACGCCTCTTTCAATTGGCGCAATTCTCGCTTCTCCCGGCGCTCCTCCATCTCTTCAATCTCATCTGCAAACAAGGCCTTCAGAGGAAGGATCAGTTTTGGAATGGCATCGAAATCTTCAAAACAAACCTGACAAAGAAAACCAATAATATATAGCAAAAACTGTACAGAACAATCTACAGCCTTTACATTTTTGTAAAGGAAGGGTTACATGTATCGCATATACCTTAATACTGAACTTTTTTGAACTGTGTCAACAGACTAATTAAAACCTGATGGACAACTAATCTAGTGCCCAACCAATTTTTCAAGCTCACTTACATATTTAAAATGTTCTGATCTCTAGGAAAAACCATCTCAGAATTCTAAAATCAGAGTTCTTCCACTCTAACATGTCATCATATCTGATTTCTGTTGAAAAAGCCAACAGGGAACAGAACCTGAATTAGCCAATAGGTCATTAGAATGACCCTCATCAGGCTGACGTCTTACCTACAAAAAAAGTGATTTATTCCTCTCTCTTTTTAAATCCTATAATCAGAAAGATGGTGGTGTATGCTATAATTCTTCTTAAAGTTTGGAACAAATATATCTGTATTGTTTAAGAGAACCGCGTCTGTGTGTGTGTGTGTGTGTGTGTGTGTGCACGCGCACACACACATGTGAATCTGTGCATGTGAGTGTGTGTGTCTGTGTAAGGCTGGGCAAAAAAACTGCATTAGAAAAAGAGACGGGACAAGCACATAAAGGTTCAATGAAATAGCAATAACAACTTAGAAAATGATTTGGGAAAATAAGTACAACCAGAGATTTATCAAAATTTGAATCTTCAAATACAATATATTCTCCTAATCCCAATGGTGCATTTGTATCATTCCTTCCTCCGAAATGCCTGAACATAGAGGCCAAAACAATAGGTGTCCAGTGAGACTCTCAAGTAAATATCCTAAAGAATATCTGGTTTATTTTTTTAAAAAAAACCATACCATAGATTACATTATCTGCTCAATCACTATCACTCCTATATAAACTAATTTTAAACCACTTTCTGGTTCACGTAACAGAATTATTAATGGGTTTGTGAGAAACCAACACAATTTACAGATTCAGGAAGGCCTGCTCTGTCTCCAGAAAATGAAAATGCACTATATCTGTAGGGAGATTTAAAAGCTGAGATATGAAGGAGGAAAACTAAGCAGATTCTAAGTCTAATTCTGAAAATGAGCATTTAAAAATTCTTTAAGCAGAAAGACAAAAGTTTCTGATTTGCCAAAGGAACGCTCAGATATTTATCATCCCTTCTACCTTTTCAATCTCTGACAATTTCAAGGTAGTTATTCTCAATTCCCACTTTCTCCCTAGAGGAAATACTGAAAAACTTTAGAACTAAGCTACACAATGGAGAGATGAAAATACATTCTGAAGAACTGAGAGACTTGAACCAGTGATTTCCTATCAGATCTGATAGTCCAAATGGATCATGAGAAGACACGACACTCAGCTCACTAAATTAAGCCCAGCCCAGTGAAATTCCAATCTACTGGAAGTTCTTTAAAAGGGACTGCTAGACTAAATTATTTCAAATCAGATTATTCTAGAAGTACAATCATTCCCTTGTGAATGGGAAAATAAAGGAAAGCATCTCCAAATAATACAGTTTGAGTTGCTTCAAAGAAATAAATAAAAATTAATGCACAGAAGAATGAATAACTTGGAATCAAGAAGCAACTGCAAACTAAGCAAGAAATGAGTGCTGACAAAAACAACGGAAACCATACATGCCTATATAGTTTTATAAGGTGTGAGTTGTGAATCCAATTCAATAAGACAGATTCATCGATTTTGACAATTTGAGACATTGGGGCTGAAATCCCCCTGTATAATTTTATGTAATTTAAGATATGACAATATTTTTTTAGTAAACCAGATCAATATTTTAGGTTAATTAGAAAAATTAATCAATATCCAAAAGAAGCACATGAAAATGTGGTACTCTCTTAGCTTAAGATACAATTTTAACTGACCTGCATGTGATCAAATGCAATTCCAACCTTTTCACTGAAATCTTCACTGAAAAGAGGAATCTTAGCATAGCGTTGACTGAAGTGATTGAGCATGATGAATTTTGCATTCATTCTCATTCCGACTTCAACAGCCTGTGAAGTAGTGCTATGGGAAAAAAAACAAAAAGAAAACAGTATGAAATCAAGAATTCTTCCCAGAACCCTTTATAGCAAATTATGTAAGAAGGGAGGAGAAAAAAATTGGAAGACTAGTACAGGAGCAACATAAAATCATTTATGGATCATTCCAGCTGCTATTCCTTGTCAAACAAATCAGCAAAGAAGCCTGCTTCAAAATGCCAAGCAATTTATTTGACCCACAGAAAACTAAGTCATCTAGTCTTACCCCTATCAGGGTCCTGGTCTGAAAAGCATTACAATCTTAAACTGCTGACTCAATTTTTTTTTCTTGGAATACCAAAGTCAAACCTTTAAATATTGAGAAGGGCCACATTTATTCCCTATATATAATTCATTGTTTCCGGTTAAAACATACATATTTAACATATTAATATAATGGGTGGAGAGGTTTTTAAAATAAATAACCTTACAAAACCAAAAAGGTTCATCTGGAATCAAGACTAACTTAGACTTAAGTACAACAGGTAAATATGCAAACACTCGAAGTAGTTAATATTTGCTCGAATCTTACATAATTATTCAAGGAACATAAATTATAACTCTAGATGCTTTATCTTACAAGTTTATATTTTTAAACATCTTTTTTTTAAAATCTCCTTTATTTCATTTCACCCTTAATGTTGTCACCCTTTAGTAGAAATTTGTTACCTGTGTGTCTTCTCTATAGCTTCCTCTTCCATTCCATCCTCCAGGGTTGCTTCATGAATCAACAAAGAAGCATCTTTTCCTGTGAAACCAGATTTGTGACACTTGAAGAGCAGTATAAGAAAATTTCCGAACATGTGGTTTGACCCAAACTATATAGTAATGTAGAACTCAATGCATAGCTCACCCATGTCAATTAAAGCAGCACATGGCATGGTGTCACCAGAATAGACCACTTTCCAACCAGATTTATGGACCATGGAACAACCAAAGGCATTTTTACAGTGCCGGACTTCGCATGTCTGAAACTAAATGTCATAGCACATTAGCCACTTGGAATCTGTGTGTGCTTTTTTCCTATCCCAGTCTATCCCACACCTTTTTTTACCTCCCTGAAGTCACATTTCTTCATAAGCGATTCAATGTACACCTTTGCATTGGGTTTGAACACATTAGCGTTTTCTTTTAAAAACTGGGCAGGAATCATTCTGAAAAGGGAAAAAAAGAGGCTACAATTATAGTAAAAACATGTATGGTTTTGTTTTGTGAAAGAACAAGAACTTTTCAAAGCAGAACTACCTGGTATCAAAGGGAAAAGCATTGCCTTCATAAGTGTACACTGTTAGGACACTTGTTTTTCCTTTCAAATTCCTATGTTACTAGCTGTCAAATATAATATTATTTTCTGCCCACATCAACCAATTTCATAGAAGAACATTAATCCCATTATTGGCTTTGTCTACCTTCTCTAAGACTTTTATAAATAATGAAATTAATGACATGTAAAGGATGTAAAATTGCTCTAAACTGGCAATGCTGAATTTTTTTTAATTTAAACATTAAACTAACCATAATAAACACTTGGTGGAACCGTTACCAGCCAGGTTATAATAAACATTTTGTCACCCAGATCACTTTTTCTCACTTAGATGAACAATGATTTAAAGAATATGCAATCAGTATTCTACAAATGTTAAAAATAACTGCCAAACTGAATCAAATCTATGTGAAATGTATCTATACCTCCTCTTCAAAACAATTTAGGGTCCCCCCCCAAAAATAGGCACTTTTTCTAGAGGTTTACAAGATACTAAATTACTATATTAGATAAATTCATTCAGCCTGATCTCTTAATATCTTCAAAAACATAACTAAACCGAGTATGAAGGTGCTGATGCAACTATTGCCAGATTAAAATTAAGGAGACACAGAGGTTCAAATCTCCATTCTGACCTTAAAGTCCCTGGCCCTGTTTTCACAACTCAGTCAACTGACCTTATGAGCTGATTCCCATGGGGCTAGATTCTGTCCAAAGCAGAATCAATCCAAACTAAGCTAAATCAATCCAGTAAACTGTATCCTGGGAACACCAAATCTATTGTAACTGCTTCATCTGCATAGCTATCTCCAAGAAAGAAAGAAAAGCTGAAAAGATAGAACAGTTTTGGGGGGAAAAACCCAAGCCTTTTCCGTTATAGAATTCATCACCAAGGCCTGACAGCACAAAAAAAAAAAAAGGCCGCAGCACATTTTGAGCCGTCTCTATTGCTCCTTGCTAGGAGAAGAGCTAGTATTGTTATGAAATTTACCTGACACACAGGTTAATTAGACCAGAGCACCTTCTGGAAAAAAATGGGTTCCAAAATAATCAGCGGGGAGATCTAATTGGGTAAATGGCCAACTGGATTAAGTGTATTGTGTATTGGAACAAGGCCATGAAGGCTCTTGAATTAGAAACACTCTCTTGGAGTAATTTATGATATAGGGTTACAGGGAGAATAGAAGTGGTAAATCATGCACACTGCTCTGAGTGGTTTTGATGGCGGGTGGAATATATAAACTGATAAAAAAAGACAAGGTCTGCATGTGATGAGTAATGCTCATGGCTGTAACTTCTGGAGCAACAGCAAGGTATGATCAGTGAAATCTCAAGTGACCCATCTTTGAGTGTCGTTTTAGAATCAACAGTAACTTATGATAAAGAAACATTACTGTAACATATTGCTACAAATATACTTCAATGTCTCACATAAGTACTTTATCTACTTACTTGATGTGACCCAGGATCTCTTGACAGTTATCATGGTATTGATGCAGCCATGTCCAAAGTATTGTGGGTGCAACTAATAACAGTGGGTTGTGAGACTCACCCTGGGATACCTGAGTGAATGTAAATAAATAAATCATGAGAAATCTTGCAAGAACCAGTAAACCATGCGGTCACAATACAAAACAAGGCAAGAATTAATCCCTGTTTATTCTTCTGATACTTAGGTATTCTTCATGAAGGAGATTCCTGGGGAATGTCAGCTTGAATTGTGTAGAACAGGCTTTGGCTCAACTGACATCTTCAACCCTGACATATTTTGAACCAGAGCCATGCAAGACTGGACTCATGGCCCCTGCTCAAAGAGCAATTAACAGTTGTGACTAGGGGAACCTCTCTACACAGGTTCATTTTGTGTATCAATGACATGGTTCATGAACCAGAGGCCTTGCTTATAATTTAGTACCTCCTCTCTGGATTACTGTAAAGCACTCTAAATGGGCCTGCCCTTGAAGAGCACTCAGAAACTGCTCTGTGAGCTGCTATCAAATTCAATGTACTGGTTGTCACCTATAAAGCACTATATGATGTAGGACCAGATTATTTGCAGGACAATCCGTTTCTTTATCCCTCACTGTTTCTGCTCATCCCACCAGGTATAATAGGAAGACCATGCTTCAGGTCCCTACATCAAACAGTGCCATATTGTTGGATCCAGGAATCGTATCTTCTCTGTGGCTGTGCCTGCCCTGTGAAGAGTTCCCTCAGAGATCAAGTTACCTCCAGTACTGTTAGCCTTCATAAAGGCTCTGAAGACAGGGCTCTTCCCTCAGGCATTTAGGCAGGCAGCTGGGTGACCTCTACTGGTGATATGGTTTTTGTTTTGGGAATTATTGTTTAACCTGGGCATCATGAATGATTATTGTTATGAAGGTTTTAATCTTTGTATACAGGTGAAACTCGAAAAATTAGAATATCATGCAAAAATTCATTTATTTCAGTAATGCAACTTAAAAGGTAAAACTAATATATGAGATAGCCTCATTACATGCAAAGCAAGATAGTTCAAGCCATGATTTGTCATAATTGAGATGATTATGGCTTATAGCTATAACCCCAAATCCACAATCTCAGAAAATTAGATTACATGCAATCAATAAAACAAGGATTGTACATAGAACAATATCAGACCTCTGAAAAGTATAAGCATGCATATGTACCCAGTACTTGGTTTGGGCCCCTTTTGCAGCAATTACTGCCTCAATGCAGTGTGGCATGGAAGCTATCAGCCTGTGGCACTGCTGAAGTGTTATGGAAGACCAGGATGCTTCAATAGCGGCCTTCAGCTCTTCTGCATTGTTTGGTCTCATGTCTCTCATCTTTCTCTTGGCAATGCCCCATAGAATCTCTATGGGGTTCAAGTCAGGCGAGTTTGCTGGCCAATCAAGCACAGTAATCCCACGGTCACTGAACCAGGTTTTGGTGCTTTTGGCAGTGTGGGCAGGTGCCAAGTCCTGCTGGAAAATGAAATCAGCATCCCCATAAAGCTCGTCTGCGGAAAGAAGCATGAAGTGCTCTAAAATCTCCTGGTAGACGGCTGCGTTGACCCTGGACTTAATGAAGCACAGTGGACCAACACCAGCAGATGACATGGCTCCCCAAATCAACACAGACTGTGGAAACTTCACACTGGACTTCAAACATCTTGCAGTGTGTGCCTCTCCATTCTTCCTCCAGACTCTGGGTCCTTGGTTTCCAAATGAGATGCAAAAGTTGCTCTCATCAGAAAAGAGGACTTTGGACCACTGAACAACAGACCAGTTCTCTTTTTCTTTAGCCCGGGTAAGATGCTTCTGATGTTGTTTGTTGTTCAGGAGCGGCTTGACAAGAGGAATACGACATTTGAAGCCCATGTCCAGGATCTGTCTGTGTGTGGTGGCTCTTGATGCACTGACTCCAGCCTCAGTCCACTCCTTGTGAAAGTCCCCAATACTTTTGAATGGCCTTTTCCTGATAATCCTCTCCAGGCTGCGGTCATCCCTGGTGCTTGTGCACCTTTTTCTTCCACACTTTTCCCTTCCACATAACTTTCTATTAATGTGCTTTGATACAGCACTTTGGGAACATCCAACTTCATTTGCAATTACCTTTTGAGGCTTTCCCTCCTTGTGGAGGGTATCAATGATGGTTTTCTGCACAACTGTCAGGTCAGCAGTCTTTCCCATGATTGTGCTTCCTACTGAACCAGACTGAGGTCTCAGGAACCCTTTGCAGGTGTTATGGCTTAATTAGCTGATTAGAGTGGGACACTTTGAGCCTAGAATATTGAACCTGTTCACAATATTCTAATTTTCTGAGATTGTGGATTTGGGGTTTTCATGAGCTGTAAGCCATAATCATCTCAATTATGACACATCATAGCTTGAACTATCTTGCTTTGCATGTAATGAGTCTATCTCATATATTAGGTTCACGTTTTAAGTTGCATTACTGAAATAAATGAACTTTTGCACAATATTCTAATTTTTCGAGTTTCACCTGTATGTAGTCTTTGACTTATAATGGGTCAGCCTTCAGCCTGTCACGATTCCAAAATCATACCATGCAGCCCAACGACAAATCGGTCCATTTGCAGCACTGTGAAAGTTCGTTTGGAAGCAAGATGTAGTGCTTTGTCTCATGGCATAAATGGGTGGGGCAAAATGATGGCCACTTCTGCCCAGTCACGAGATAACACTCCCTTGTTAAGGCAGGAAAAGAGTGGTTTGTGCCATGGCCACATGGCTTGAAGCAGCAATGATATTAGAATGCAATTCAGCCACTGGAAACATGACGGCTGCCTCGTGCCATGCATCTGAGGGACAAAGCGACCTGTCCTGCTTTTTTAAAAGTCCACATATCCTCAGGTCCCGGAGGTTTCTGAAATGCTATGCATACCACATTAGCAAAGCAGAAAGGGTCACTTTCTCCCCCAGCTGCACGGTGCAATTCCAGAAGCCGAACTGCAATTCGGTTAGCTATTAAATTTAACCGCCATTTCTGGAATCACACCACATGGCCACTTGATGAAGCAAGCCATTCCAATGCTCTGAAAGGCCTTAGAGTTCTTCAAAAAGTAATGAGGAGGATGTTTGGCCTGGTGGGGTGGGAATCAGCCCTAAGGCTTGGAGGGGATCCAAAGGACTGGGGAAAGTCTATGGGGACCCAAGAGGCAGGAAGCAGAGGATGGGGCATCTCGGGGGTGGGGGCAATCTTGGGAGGGCTGGGGCAGGTGGGACTGGACCAGGCTTCCAAGGACCTCCTTCACCCTCAGGTGTTCCACTTAAAGACCACTTAATAATTGTATTGGGGAGAGCAGGGATGGAGGGATCATTAAGTCAGACACTTTACTTAATGGCCATTGTGACATGTGACCATAATGAGCAGGTTTTATTACAATCATATGTCGAGAGTCATTGCTGTGAGATGAGAAGCTTTATAAATAGTATAAATTAATTAACAAATACTTACAAGTGCACGATGTCTCTGCAGTAAGATATTTAACAAGCCCTAGAAGAAAGAAAGTTGGCAAATATGAATTGGTGAAAAAAAATTTCTTATATGCTCATCTTTAAATATTTCTTGTTAAAGCAAGTTGATTGTAGAAAGGCAAAAGTTGTATATATAGATGTCCTTTCAATACATAGAAGACAATATAGTTTTACTTAACACTAGAAAACAGCATTATCGGTAAGTTTTGAAATACTGTTTATAGTGTTAAAATACTGTTCATACTGATGCTAACAAATTTAGCTCACTGTTTAATTAATCAATATTAACGTCATTACAAAGTTGTTTGTAAATGAGAAAATTAGTAACATAGATTTTGATAGGAAATTCAGGAAGTTCGATAGGAAAACATAGAAGGAACAATGATATCCAGAGCCACTGATTATAGTCAATATACAGGTAGTCCTCGCTGAAAAAAAATCACTCGTTCAATAACCATTCAAAGTTATGATGATATTGAATGAGGGGTACTTACAATGGGTCACCATAGTTATGGACATTGCAGCATTCCCAGTCACATGACTGCAATTTTAGTACTTGGCAACCAGATTGCAATTTTATTATTTGTTATTAAATTTGTTTATTACCCATTTCAACTCAGGGTAACTCAGTTACAATGCTGCAGCATTCAGCAGTCACATGATTGCTATTTTGACCTTCCTCACCAGTTTTCAACAAACAAGATCAATTCCCACAAGCTTTCAGGTCATGTCACTGCAGGACACTGCAGCCATTGGGATTTGCCCTAACAGTGGAAACCAGGACTGCTGCAACTGCCACTGTAAGTCAGCTCAGTCACATGATATTGTGCTTTACAACCATGTCACTTAGCAGTGGAACTGTTGGTGCCAATTACCATCATTAAGGGAGGACTACTGGTAACAATAAAATAATAAAATTACAGCGTAATTATTATATACCACTCACTGTATGATGATCAGCATGTATATGTGAAACAAATATTGCTGCAATGTTGCATAACATTTTGTCAATTTCATCTCCATAGTGGCGGCAAAGTTGGCCAAAGGTTCCTTCCCCACAATCCAGAAGAACAGATTGAGTAGGACTAGCAAAAGAGAATGTATACATTATTATCAATAGATTTTAAAAACTGCATTTACAGAAGCCATGATCCTGACATGCTACATCTTCCCTCACAATATTTCATGTAATCCTAGTTTCCATGTAGAACCATATCCTGATCTGTAGAACTGTATCTCAGGACAATCTAGATTTACCCTTGATTTCAATATGGAAAATTCTACTTCTATGACGAAGATTCTACGAGCTTTGCTTATTTGCTTTAATTTTAGCTCTCAAATGTATGATTAAAATAACAAGCATTTCAATTTGATAAAGAAATCAGGAGTCAGCAATTAAATAAAGAAGACAACAGGTAGATTAACGTCTACTAGTGAGATCAAGACAGAAATATTACAAAGGATTCTTTCCTATATCAATTTCCAGTTGAATGTGACTGAAATCAAAATCAGTAATGAAGGCAATTGTTTCCTGCTGGAGAAGTTACAAATCAGGTATTACACTTTTATCCACTCATATCTTCTTGTGAGCAACTATCCATTACTTTCTTTAAAACTGTAACCTACCTAATATTTACCAGGGTAGAGCTAACATTCCGTATTTTCATTGGTACTGCAGAGCCAGTTCCTAAGAATACAATTTCTGGATAGCAATCTTGGGTTTCTAGAAAATAAGAAAAAGGCAGTTAAATGCATGAAACCAAAGATATGGATTATTACTTAAAAATGAAATACTTGTACAGAATAGGGAATCCATAATATAAACATAAAAACTAAAGAGAAATTTTCTGACAATGAGAACAATTATCCAGTGGAACAGCTTGCCTACAGAACTAGAGGTTTTTAAGAAGAGATTGGACAGCCATTTTTCTAGAATAGTATAAGGTCTCCTGACTAAAAATCTTCCAAGGTCCCTTCCCACAGTTAATCTGAATTCTGTATTCTACTATAAACATTTGAACACATTCACCAAGGCCATCTTTTACAAATAAGCAGCTCTAAATTTATAAGAAATTGCTTTTTTTTATAATGTTCTAAAAAACCTTTTTTCCCCCTCAACTTGAAGATACAACAAGTTACCTACATGGAAAGATAGGTAAATATTGTCTCAAAAAATGATCTAACATAGAGATTACATCCTTCACTGTTGGATGTTTCTGAACAACAGCCCTTCAAAAATACTGTAAAAGTAGGCAGCTTTAACAAAAAAGAAAAAGAAATAACTTTGCATGGACAGAACACAACACTATTTCAGAAGACAGCTGCCTCACAAGTAACTCAACATTTACAAATCATTAGAGAAGTGGGCGCCTTCAAAGTTGATAACCTGTTTTTTAACCATTGACTTTTAGAGATTATCAAACTGTTTATACAAGTTTATGTCTATTAAATGAATTTCTCAAACTGTATCAGAAATAACAAATGTAGGCTTTTCCAGTCAGCTGTTTGACTGGATATGTTGATACGTCCTGCAAATAGCTTATTGACCTGATGTTGCTGGTTTCACTGACAAGCTCTCATGGCATGTCTGCACCGAATCCTGGAAGTCAGGGAGTTGCAAGGCTTCAACTACATATTCAGCAGGATTGTAATTAAAAACAGCGTCCCTAAAAAACACAAGAGACAATGAGAAGCTATTAACAAACATTTTATTTTCTAAGAGCAAGGGTTATTTTATTATTTTAACCATTCTGATGCTTTTATCACAAAGAAAAACCTACCAACTTTGAGAAACATTTACTCAAGAGTGGCCAACCTACAGACTGCAGGAAAATGCATACATTTTTGCTCTACCAGTTCTTAGCACATCACTGACCAAATATTCCTGAGGCCAACTGGCCAGCCTATCTATTTTCTTGTCTATCTGTCTAGCTATCTATATGGCCACCCAATTCAAACAATATGATCTCTAAATAAAGGCCATAGATCTCAGCTACAAAAAAAAAGCATTGCCCCTAATTAATACAAGATACTATAGTATAAAAGGAAACAACTATTAGAAATGCAGTTGTGTTTTTAAATTGTTTGCCCACACATGCTCATACTTCCAAGTTCTATGTAGCCTTCTAGACCCAGAAACCACTGTTCCCCACTCCCACTAAAAAGCAACTCAGAGACTAAGTTAACAGGTACTACTATAAACAGAAAATATGTTTGGTGATTTCCATCTAAACCTATTTAGTAAATGGCTTTTCTCTTCTCTGTTTATCATTTATATCAAACTTAACAGCAAGATTACAACATGATTATCAATATCTGATTTTTCTTTTTGATTGACAAGTAAGAAAGAGACCTTTAAGCAATCTTGGATTTTCTGGAATTCTTTATGTGATAAATTTCTGAGCGTATTTTCTTATGTATCGTACTTCAATTGTTTAATAATAATAGTGATTTATTAAACCTGTATGTCACCTGACCCTCAACAACTCTGGGTGGCTCCTTCTAACATGGAAAATGCATTTGCCACTTATATAATGGTAAGATAAATTTGATACATGCATTTTTGCACCATTATACGATTATTACAAATGACATAACAGCGTCCAAAACATCCCATTCCAACTGCACCCCATATTAGACATGAAATACGACACCCTGTATAGATTGCTTTGAGCATTCTGGAAATGATTCCGAACAATTCCCTCTACAGCCAGCTGCTTATGCTCAAAATGGGACACCTAATTCAGAAGATGGCATCTGAAGTTCAAATATTTTACTTCGAAATATATTATGTATCCTTATGCATTTTATTTTATTTAGTAAGCACAATTTAAAACAAGCACTACTCTGGCATATTCTCCAAGGTTATGGGGCAAAACATGGAGATTAAAATACACTGATGTTTTGCCAAAAGATATTTCATTTTGTTAATATTAAAATAATGTCCAGTTGATCAGGAAAAAGATAGAAAGATAACAAAAATGCTCGGGGTCAAGGAGGTCTTTGGCCAAGACTGAATTCATGCTATGAAGGCAAACTGAAATGGCTACCAACTTCTGCCATTCTCTTTTGGGTCTCAGCTGGTATTTGAGGAGGCATTCTCCTTGAGTCACAGGCACACTGAACTCAGCCTCTTCTTCCTGATGGGTAGACAGAAAAACATAAAAGCATACTACCAAGTCGGCTGAAACAGAAACGTACCCTTCTAGCTGTTCCATAACTAATATTTACTATTATTATCTTCTTACCTTGCTTGGGTGGTGGTTTTTAAGCAATGGAAAGATCTTTGGATGTATGTAATTGAGCTGACTTTGAATTCTGTAGCTGTGAAGATGATGTATTGACTTGCAATTTTCGTTGAGTATCAGGTGTTGAGTATTTTCACCAAAGCTGGAGGGTAAGAAAAAAATCAGGCGTATTTTAAAACTTGATATTCTAAACAGGGTAAGGAAATTCTATTTTACATTGGGTTTCACCATCATTGTCTGTCCAAGCAAAATAGAAGCTATTTTACAGCCTAATGCCTTGGCTCTTGTCTGTTCTTCTTGGTGCTTCTCATGATAGTTTTAGTTCAATCAGAGGTCAGGTATGTTATGAGGGCAATCTGGCTGCAATGTCTATCACCCCATTAATGGTCAGTTATATTGCCTGCACTCCCCTTCTGGAATTCTCATCTGTATTTTTCACCTGAAACTATGTATACAAATGCAATATGCCTATCACTCATAACATGAAGACAGGACTTTCACACCTTGTATGTCAACTTCCCATATAAGGAAGATTTTAAAAATAGAACACAAGGTGTACTACCACAGGTGTTTATCACATTGATAGAACAGTATGAGTAAAAAAAAGCAACTAAGAAAAAGCATAAGATGTCCTCATCTGAGAAACACCGAGAAAGCTTTTATCATGCTTTCCGATCACAGATTTGCCTGTGAAATACATTAAAACAAATAAACCCAAATGCTGACATATTGTCATGACAGTGAATAAGTCAGAAACTCGATTCTCTTCTTTTAGATACAGATTTAACTTTTTCTGGACTTTGTTTATATTTGTAATATTGTTCTATGTTACAAGTTAAGTATTATTGCAAATGTGTGGGAAGCACTTCAAAAATTGTGTAAGTGCCAAGTATTAAACAATGCTAATTATCATTCTAACGGTAAACAATTGGTGAGGATGAGTTAAATTACCAGCATTATGTCAAAGTAAAGCAACATTAACGCTAGACACAAACCTTTCTAACCACTGCTTATACCGACTATCTTTCAGAACAGAGTCTGGAGTGATATGAACAATTAAAGCCACAGAATTTTCTGGATTGTCTTGTTGATACCTGAAACAAAAGATCTGATATAAAAGCAGAAATTCTCAAGATGGCAGATTATGCTTCTAAAATACTATATAGTGTAACCACGTATCAGGATAGTTAGTATCCCAGTATCTACAGGATCCAAGCACAAAGGCCTGGGCGTATAGATTCCACAGGTGACCAGAATTTAGCAAAAGATGCAGCCTTATATCTCAACATGCCAATCTAATTCTGATAGAGGAGAGTTCAACATTGGACCTAGTGAATCAAAAATTCAGTTATGGCCTTAAATTACTGAATAATATAAATAAAACTATTAAATGTAGATAGGTTTTGTGGCTGCAAAAATACAAGCTCATATTTGTACTATAAACATACTCTTTTTAAATACTCTACTGACTTTCAAACTACCGATACTCCTCAACCTAAGACCACAATCGAACCTCAAATTTCTATTACTGAGGCAGTTCTTAAGTGAGTTTTGCCCCATTATATAAACTTTCTTGCCACAGTTGTTAATCGAATCTCTACAATTGTTAAGTTAGTAATCCGGTGGTTAAGTGAATTTGGCTTCCCCATTGACTTTGCTTGTCAGGTCGCAAAAGGTGTTCACATGACCATGGGACTCTGCAACCCTCATAAATATGAACCATTGCCAAGCATTCAAATTTTCATTGGGCGACCATGGGGATGCTGGACCAGTCTTAAGTACAAAAAACGGCCATAAGTCACTTTTTTCAGTGCCATTGTAACTTCAAATGGTCACTAAATGAATGGTTGTAAGTTGAGGACTATCTGTATTTATATACCCACTGAAGGAATCAATCCTATATGCAGTACATTTACTAATACTTTGCCACATCTTATTGTCTTAGTATAAAAATGAGTGGTTGACATGGATTGACAAGGATAAAAACAGACTCATATTTCCAAAAGATATGGTGACAAATAAAGACATGGCAAGAAAGCTGTTGCCCAGTGATTCCTTAATACAAAATATGAAAACAAATAACAGATAATCAGAGTTGGAAGGGATCTTGTATGTCATCTAGTCCAACTGCCCACCCAAGCAGGAGACCCTACACCATTTCTGACAGATGGGAGTCCAATCTCTTCTTGAAAGTCTCAAATGATGGCGCTCCCACAACTTCCGAGGGCAAGCTGTTCCATTGGTTGATTGTTCTCACTGTCAGAAAGTTTCCTCCTTATTTCCAGGTTAAATCTCTCCTTGTTATCCATTCATTATTCCTTGTCTGGCCTACAGGAGCTTTAGAAAATAGCTTGACCCCTTCCTCTCTGTGGCAGCCCCTCAAATATTGGAAGACTGCTATCATGTCTCCCCTGGTCCTTCTCTTCACTAGACTAGCCATGCCCAGTTCCTGTAACCGTTCTTCATGTTTTAGTCTTCAGTCCCCTAATCATCCTGGTTGCTGAAAAGCAACTGAGCTTTTCCTTAATCATACCTTAGCAGTGTACTGTTTTCACAGACGGCATCTATAAAACCTTCATGAGGGCACTCCAGTACAATGAACACTAAACTTGGCTCTGGAGGCGTACAAAGTTCTTCAGCCAAGATCTGCAATAAGATACCCAAGTCAATACACACCACCACTACACATGTTTTATTAAAATCTCCCACAGCCCACATTTCAACAGGGAGGGAAACATTACTGGGAAACATTTCCCATAATGACCAAGAAGCAGGGATCACAGCGCAGATTTACAGATTTACAGATAATCAGAGTTGGAAGGGACCTTGTAGGTCATCTAGTCCAACCCCCTGCCCAAACGGGAGACCCTACACCATTTCTGACAAATGGCAGTCCAATCTCTTCTTGAAAGTCTCAACTGATGGTGCTCCCACAACTTCCGAGGGCAAGCTGTTCCACTGGTTGATTGTTCTCACTGTCAGAAAGTTTCTCCTTATTTCCAGGTTAAATCTCTCCTTGTTCAGTTTCCATCCATTATTCCTTGTCTGGCCTATAGGAGCTTTAGAAAATAGCTTGACCCCCTCCTCCCTGTGGCAGCCCCTCAGATATTGGAAGACTGCTATCATGTCTCCCCTGGTCCTTCTCTTTACTAGACTAGCCAAGCCCAGGCAGGAAAAGCTTTGCTGTTATTGTTGTTGTTTGTCAAACTGTTCCATCACGTTATATGAACTTTTGAGCTCAGAAAGCTGTTCACCTCAACCACCAATGATGAACAGGTCCAACTTAACAGTTTCCCTTTGAATAAGTGAGAAATGTCATGTGCTTTTTTACATTACATAAATCAATAGTTTTGTGGACTCAATTCATTTAAATATTCCCACTGATTGAAGCAAAGGCCAAACAAAAATGTTAGGTTATAATCTCTCTGCCCTAAACAATAAACTAAAAAACTCCCAACCCATGGAATAAAAGGGTCCTTTTATTTAGGACCCTTCAGAAAGTTTTACCTCTTTTCCTTCAAACACGATATTCTCTCCATTCTTCACAGCTGTTATTATGGGCGCAATTGCTGCGTTGCCACTAAAAAAAAAAAAGTTAACCAGTCTCTGAAGATTGATGACATTCCACATACAAACGTTCAAAGGAATTCCATACTTACATAGGCAAGCCAAGTTCCTTTGCTTTTAAAACTAAGAAGGTTCCTTTCTTTGGATGGACCTACAAATAAATATTGGTTATTTCACCATGTATTCCTAGCAGTGTGTTCAGTCATCTCAAATGATAACGTTGACATTATATCATAAAATGCATCTACTTACATCCCAACACTAACATTAGAAATACTAAGAGAGGACAAACAAAAAGGAATGAAATGTCTTATTAAGAATGGAGAATACATTTGGCAAACTAAATAATGTACTCATTTTTTTTTTTATGACTCTTTAATTCCTGACCAGACGCCCTTCCTGGCACCTACGCGAAGTTCACAGCAGATAAATTCTCTTTGCGCCCTGATAAGAGAAACATCTGCCGCTGCCTAAGATCAAACTGTCAACCTTCCAAGTGGGAGGTGAGCATGGGCCACTGTGCCACTCTAAGCATTACTTCTCAGCCTTTTGGCTAAGATCAAGTGTACGCAATGCACACAAAAATAATAAATCATCTCATGAGGAAGGCAGGTCTAAGATAATCAAAAGCTGCAATTATAAACACAAATATTAGGGAGAAGTCTATAAATCTATGATATGCAATATGCACTTTTAACTCCTACCATTTCTGACAATTTATTTCCACAATCTATATGAGAAACATCCAAGCATATGCAACCCAGTGAAATCCTAAAAATGCATACTTAGGAGGATTGCAATCTTAGCATTTCTTTCACCCAGCTTTTCTAATAAGAAAAGCATTTGGATCATATTTATTTCATATCAAATGTTCCCCTAGCTCAAAATTATAGCATCACACTGAATCTTTATACCATGACAGGATCCCCAATGACTGAGGTATCCTCAATGTGGAGAAGAGCTCTTACCTTACAAACATATGCAACAACAAGAGATGAGTCCCTTTCAAGTATCTGTCTCCTGCTGCCTTAAAAAAAAAAACCACAACAGACAGATAAATCCTGTGTTTCAAAACCAAAATACACCTAAAATTTAAGATGTTTTTTTTTACGAAAAGCAACAAGATAACACAACATCTTTCTAGAGCCATCTTACACATTTGAGCAGACATGGCAACTATATTTACAGACTTCATAATTTTATTTCACCCCTGAGAAAATCTAAGGTTCCTGAATTTCTATCCTATTTTTTTTCAGTTGGGGGTGTGTGTAATAATGCAGGGGGGGAATAATACTGTCACCCCAGAACAATACCACATGCCAGAAGAGTAGACACCCTCAATAGTATTTAAGCATTTTGTGTAAACCAGCTTGGGCATTATAGACCCCAAAACATCAAGATAAATATTAACAGTAGAGTACAGTAGAACCTCAGGTCACGACTGTAATTGGTTCTGTAACTTCGGTCATAACCCAATTTGATCATGACTGGAAGAGAGACTGACTGAGCATATGGCTACAAAAAAAAAATTGGCGCAGAAGGGGAAATCGGCACGGAAAAAGAATCGGCCACAGCCGTGTTTGATCGCTACCTGATTTTTGAAACATGACCCAATTCAAAAATGTTGGATTTTTTGGTCGGAACCCGATTTGGTCGTGGTCAGAAGCATTTGTGACCAGAGGTTCTACTGTATATTAAGTTAATGCAACAAAACATTAATGAAAACTTAATATTTTAAAAATATTAAGACATTGTTAAGGCATACATTCCTAAATTTATCCAGTTTCTGTGGTAGTTTCTTTTGTGAAATATGGACATATTTTTAAACTTCATGCTGCAACTTAAATTATAATTGCTTATCTAGAAAATTCCCCCTCCCCAACCATGAAAACTTCCTGGTGGGTCCCATTTCATTGACAAAGGGTGAGGCTTCCTCACCTGTTCTATCAGGTGATTTTTTATTCATATCAGAGGGAGATTCTGGCCTTGAGATATGTTTTTGATCATCCTCGTCTATTAGCGATTTAGAGTCTGGATGTATCCTTTGCTCACAGTCAGCTTTTGCTTGTTTCACATAAATGGTGGAAAGAGGAAAGGGACAAGGATAAGGTTAAAATATGTACATCTCTTTGTTTTGCAGACACTGATTACAGTCATATATTGTACAGAACCGCATTTCGCTGATTTGGTCACAATTGCTTCTATTGACATAGTCTGTTAAGAACATTTTCACACATAATTCTCAGTAAGCATGTTAGTAGCTACTGGAGAATATTATAAACAAACTTCATTATTTTCATTCATATATCGATAATTGGAAAATACCAGGGTTTTCATTTATCCCGCCCATCACCCACTAATATGTGATTATAAAAAAACTGGAAGTAATCACAGTATAGGGCAGAAACTCCATCTGACACACAGTACTGGACTCAGGAAAGCTAATATACTATCTGTAAGCTTTGAATTCAGTTAATGAAGTATTTATCCTGATATTCAACTGAACCCTGGCAAAAGTAAGTGGCTTCGCATACTGGGACCTTCTGAATCCATAGAGTTACCATCTTTGGTGCTGGATGTGGTTGAACTATCCCAAACTGATCTGGTGCACAAAACGGGAGTTATTCTGGACTCACAATTCTTGCTTCAAAAAGCAGGTGGTTGTTGTAGCCGGGAGGGCCTTTGCACATTTTCATGTTGTGTGCCAGTTGCCTCCATTCCTGACCCACAGGACTCTAACTTCAGTCATTCATATCCTAGGCACCTCCCAAATGGATTACTGTTAACACTACTCTTGAAGACCATCCAGTAGCTTCAGCTGGTACAAAATGCTGTGGTTCAGGTAGTTACGTGTGCTTCAAGAACTGTTTTGTTTTACTCCTCTGCTTGAAAGCAACACTGGTTGCCACGATCCTTCTGAGTCCAATTCAAGGTGCCAGTTATGATTTTAAAGCCCTACATGGCACGGGACCAGATTATTTGAGGGACTACTTCTCCCCAATTTCATGTACCTATCCCATCAGGTCTGGCAAAAGGGAAATGCTACAGGACCCATTGGCCCAGGAGCTTCATTTGGCAGGACCCAGAAAGACAGCTTTTTCTGCCATGGCACCCATCCCCTGGAATAACGTTCCCTTGAGGTGAGATTTGCCCCATCCCTGCTGGCCTTCTGAAAGGCACTTAAAACTTGGATGTGCCATTGGGCTTGGGGATCCCATGGAAGTGTGCAGCCCCTTAAATTGCTACAATATGTATAGGTTTAGACTGCACTATCCTCTTTTTATTATTGTGGTTTTTTAAACGGTAATGTTTAAGCATTTTAGTTGATTTTAATGGTTCGTTGCTGTGATTTAATTGTGTATGCTTCCCAGAGTCACATGCAAGTGAGATGAGCAGCTGCATAAGTTCAATCAATCAATATCATTTTAGTGTATACTGTACTCCAGTATAAAAGAAAAAGAAAGTTGTAAGACAATGGAACAAAGTTATGGTACAGCAAAATTTTCTACAACTAGGGCAGGCTCTCTATCTCATAATCAAGCACAGGTTCCTTTATTGCTACCTCTCAATTGTTTAGAATCAGAAGTGATAGAATTGTTATGATGTTTAGATCCCTATAGCACATAATTTACTGTGTTCTACCCACTCCCTATTTAAAATTAGGATACCTTACTCACCTACCAGAGGGACCTGTTGTACTACCATTGTTTCATCCTCATATTCTGTAGCCAAAAAAGACTGCACAACTAGGAACAACATAGACGGGAAATGAATGTTAAGTCATTAGAGTTACTGCTTTCGATAAAATTGTGCAAGAGATCTAAACATAATTATGTCAAACACAGTTTAAAATTCTTATGCTTCAAGCTTTAAGATGGCTTTGCTAGATGCATTTTAAAGAAAAGATGTAGCTAGTAACCTTAAAAACTGACAGCACAGCATGGAATCAAGAAAAACAAGCAACGATGTACAGAAATTCTCTTTTCTTGATCAGTCTGCCATACAGCCATGATGCAAAACAATACACCACCAGCAACTCCGAATTTGAAATACAATTTCAAAGATAGCACTTACCTATCTCCATTCCTTTCATTGAACCAGCAAATACTTTGATTGCTTCTAAATATTTTTGCTGAAATATACACAATAAGAACAACAACTATTATTTCCTAGAAACTTAGTAACACTGATTACTCTCACATGTTATGCACTTCACCTAATAGAATAAGACACTTTTTACATTTTACTATACTTTTACGCATTCAAAATATGTCATACATGTGATCTCATTATTATCCTTTCAACAATTCGGGAATGTATTATGGCACATGAGGATGGGGTACAGAGAAGAAAAAAAGTTTGTCTAACTCTAAAGCAATTCATTTAATTCACTGCAGCTGAGACTCAAACCTAGGAATTCCCAATCCTTAACTTCACTATTACACTACATCAGCTCAGAACAATGAATCTTATTTTGCCCCCTAAAATACCAATATGCAAAAGCAGCCTTGGAAAGTAATAAAAAGTATCTTAAAAGAGGAATACTCATCACAGTTTAAGCGATAATTTTAAGGAAGAAAATAATGTTTCCGAAATAAGGAATAAGTATTATGTCCCCAAATCTGCATTTCTCTAGAAATTTATATACAATGCAACCATTCTAATTCCTAGATAAAGAATAATGAGACTATTCTGCAGGATAGATTGTAATGTACTGTTTTGTATAGACTTCAGATTTTATGCGAGAGGACTATCTCTCTACTCTTAATTGAAGTATTTCATTAGAATTCTGTAGAAACTTGAAAAAATGTGAATGTCTTAAGAATCCTGTCAATTTTAAAAAGTCAACTTAAGTAGATGTGTATTTTACCAATTCATGTAAGATCATACCACTTATTCTGAAAAAAATGTTGATGCAGGCACTGTCCTATTACATACTTAATTCTTAATGCTGTTATTCTTAAAAGATAATTGAGTCGGTAATCACTGCAAAAAAAAAAAAGAGTACAATACAACTTACCAGTTGTGGTGGTCCAGAAAGAATGCATTTAGGAACTCTTGTTTCCTTTAAGGTAAGAATCATTCCTGAATGAAAGGATAAAGAGTGTGAATGTTATAATTCTCTTTAGATAAAATTGCAGAAAACTTTTGAAAAAAAGATTAGTGCTATAGCAACAGAGAAAGAAAACATTATGGCTGACATTATCATTTAGTGGCCACAATCCCTGCAGTTACAATTGCCATCATTAACTGAATTCCGTCGTTGTTAGATGAGACAACTTCCTGCTGGCTTCACACAGTCAAGGCCAGTGGAGAAGTCAACAGGAAGTTTCAAATCCCAGGCCTACAGGGTGGTAAGTGGCTGCTGCCAGGTGGGAGAGGGAGCAAGGAGAAGCCCAGAGGAGGATGCACAAAGAAGAAGGTGAGAAGGAGTAGGAAAGGCACTGTTGTTTGGAAAGGATCAAGGAGGATGGATGTATGAGGTACATTGATCAGGGAAGAGTGTGCAGAGTTGCCTAAGAAGCTGGTAGAAGGTGCCTGGGCAGAAGAGACTTACCCCAGTGACTTGAAACCTTTCCTGATGTCTTCCCATTGACTTTCTGGAAGACACCAGGGAAGGTTGAAAATGGCAATAACATGATCACAAGGTGCTTGGCAACTGGTTGTAAGTGCGTCTGGATTGCCAAGCACCTAGATCATGATCATCTGATCTTTGGGATGCTGGGAGAGTTGCAATTTCAAAGACTAGTCTATTGGCTCAGCACCATCATAACTCTGAATGGTCACTGACCAAATGGTTGTGGGTCGAGAACTACCTATAGTTTACTGTAGTTTATATTGATAAACTGAACATATAGTTCATAGATATAAATATCTGTTATATTTAAACCCCTGGAGCTTAGATTGATTCCAACTTTACTGGCCTTCAGGAAGGTTCTATATCCTCTTTTTAACAAGAGCAAAAAATCACACATTTTTAACCATTTAACTCTGTAATAACTCTGTAAATTGCTTACAGAGGGCCATAAAGCACTGTGAAGCGGTATATAAGTCTAAGGGCTACTGCTATTTTCCACAAAAAATCCATTTTCAATCTTTTATGACAGTATTTATCATTTTACTTCTGTTCAAACAAGCCTGTTTTTTATTTTTTCCTTGTAAGAATCTTCTGGTAGGCATTTCTTTGGATAAAATTAACTTGATGTTGAAGTACTGTTGAATAACTTGATCTCTTTGTCATCCTCCTGACAGAGAAACAGTTTTCATCTTTATATATTGCTTCTGTGCATTCTATTCATTTCTGTACCTACATCTTCTTTTTCCCATTCCATAGATTATATTAAAACATTAGCAGCTCTTTACTTAATGCCTTCCCCAGGTTGTTCCAAAATTACTGTCTCTCATGAATTTCTTCCTCCTTGTTCCAGCTATGCCACAACTGGGTCCATTCATTTCTCTGGTTACTGTTTTCATCATATTTTCTGGGATTTCCATTTTTTCCTCAATATGTTTAACTTCTCCAATTGTTTGTGCTGCAGATTCTTCCAGTTTTCTCTTCCACATTTGCAAAACCTTTAGCCAAGTTTTTCTTATCAAATTAAATCACTGCAGTTGTCACTGATTTTAGAATATTCTTTCCCAATTCCTCAAATATATTTTGTAACATCCCTGGTATAATCCCCTTTCCTGGTAGTTGCTGTGTTAGTAATCCTCTCCCTTCTTTCACTCATTCCTAATAACAGCATTTTTAAAAATATATATAAACTGAAAAGGAAAAGCAGCAGGCAAAGATGCAGCACATTTGGGAATATAGAATATATTTATCTACTGAACTCACCAGACAAACCACCAACATTTGCCCAATTCATTCTAGTGAGGAAGATATTGTCTAAATGAGCCACTTTTAACCTGCAATAAAGACAAACTTTTAATGGAATTAAGTAAAATAATATTTTACGTGCTTCTGTCATCATCACATCCAATATCATCCTCAATGCCTCATTCACTGACTGATTCATTCATTAATTCATTCCATTGGTAAGTCTCGCCAATTGTCCAAGCAACTTTAGGTGACACGTTAAACAATAAAACAAACCAAATTCAGTAATAAATAACCACAAAACTCTGTGTTACTATTTTAGGAAATGAAAGATCAAAGAACAAATTTCAAAATCAGCACAGGATTTATTTATTTATTTTTATTTTAGTTATTTGCTTCATTTAAATGCCACCCATCTCAGAGAATCATGACTCTGAGTGGTGTACAATAAAGCCATAAAAACCATAAATACAAACTACTCTAAAATTAATTATTGTTACATTTCATATTGTTTATGAAAAAAATTGCTCACATACCATGAAGAGATTTAAAGGTTAAAAAAAGCACCTTGAATTGAACCTGAAAGAAAACTAGTAGTTAATCAAGCTTGCAGAACAGAGGTGCAGGTTTGCCATTTTAGGGGCAATAAATCTGCCCACACCACACATTTTGCACCAGCTCAACTTTCCTGATACTTTTCTAAGGGTAAACCCAGGTACAGTGCCCAGGGAGGAGACCAAGACATGAGCGATTATGAGCAGAGCTTCTAGGAATGAAAACCACCGAGGCACAATTAAAAATTGTGCAAAAGTTCTCCAAGGCCACATGCTCTTTAAGTAGGAGTCACAAGTCCAAGCAGACTCTCAAGTTGTATACCAGGTCTGACTAGGATACAGAAATCCCATTCATACGAAAGATGGTTTAGACCCAGAATGAGAAGGCTTCAAAACCCAAAGCCTCTCAGTCTTACCAGGGTTCAGGTCAATCTCATTCTTCCCCATCCATATCCCTACAGCCTCCAGGAACAAAGATAGGACATCAGTAGCAGGCTTGATTTGCCAGGGGGTAGATGTATAATAATCATCAACGTACTGATGATATTTCACTCCAGGGCAATAGATCAGCTTATCCAGCAGCTTCATGTAGATAGGAATAGGAATAGAAACAGCACCAAACTCTGTCCCAAAAGTAGGGGACAAAGGCAAGATTCTTCCCTCACAACCACCACTAATTGGTATCAACTCAGGAGAAAAGAGAGGAACCAGCATAATACTGTGTGTCCCTCCCCAATCCCTGGAGCTGGCCCAGAATGATACCATGATCCAAAAGCTGAATCCTGACTGAAAGGAATCAATATGATCCATAGAGGGTCATCTGAAGCTACCGCACAACTATCTTCTCCACAACCATTCCCAAAAGATTTTAAATACTGGATGAAAATTGTTTTGCAGTATTTTACAGGTCTTGTAGAGATCGTCTTTGCTTAACAACCCTAACTGGTACCAGAATTTCTGCTGAGAAGCAAAGTGGTCATAAGGTGAAATTTCTTGTGACTACACCACTTAGCAATGGCAGTTCCACTATTCTAGTTGTGGTCATTAGGGGAGGATTGTGCTGTCATTAGTTGAGGACCTTGTGCTTCTCCTGCCCTGCTGCACCTGCCTCTGCTTCAATTCCTCTCACCTCCTGTCTCTCCCCATCTCTGCCCTCTTGGCCACCCTGTACTCCACCGCCTCATAAAGGGTCAGCAGGTGCCTCAGCTTGATGCACCTTGTCAGCAAGAGAGGAAGAGGACACAAATGTTAGCTGGGGCAACCGGGGTAGGCAACAGCAGTACAGTGGGAGTTAAAGTGCATGCTGCAGTCATAAATTCAGTCAGGCTGCCAAGTACCTGAATACTGATCATGTGACAGAGGGGGCATTGCAACAGCTATAGCTCGGAAGCCAATCGGAATAACAGAGTTGGAAGGGAACCTTGAGGTCTTGTAGTCCAACCCCCTGCTCAGGAAGGAAACCCTATATCATTTCAGACAAATGGCTATTCAATCTCTTCTTTATAACCTCCAGCGTTGGAGCACCTACAATTTCTGAAGGCACGTTGTTCCACTGATTAATTGTTCTGTCAGGAAATATGTCCTTAGTTCTAGGTTGTTCTCTCCTTGATTAATTTCCATCCAGTCATAACTGCCATTTGTTCAGCACTGTGTTAACTTTGAACAGTTGCTGAATGAGGGATCATTACACAGGGACTACCTGTACTAGAAAAAATGTTACAAGTTCATGTAAGAATTCCAGCCTTACAATTTTTAAGTGGCAATTCTCATTCTTTTTTATAAGTTTATGAATCCTTACTGTACTGCTGAGGCACAGTACTGGGTCATGGCTGTGGGCTCAAAGTTTATTTGTAAATTAAGCATATAGCAGTTTTTTAAATGTTCCCTGCCTATCAATGGCTACTGTAAAGGGTAAAACATCTGATGCATAATTATAAATAATGAACTTCGTATGTCTCTTTTCTCCCTGCCAATAAAAGTTAGTGCTATATGCTTTCTGAATTAAAGCATCAACTGGGGGTACTTTTCCGTTCTTCCACACACTGAAACTGGCCAGCACAGCTTCTTTCTTCTCAGAACACTGACTATAATTCACAACAGCTTTACTGGGATTTAATAACAGAAGCTGTAGGTGGTACCTGCAACCATATAACATTTCAAGGTGGCATTCCTATTTTCTCTCCTATTTTGATCCCAGTTAACCACCACACCTTTGAGGCACTCCACTTTGTTGCCCCTGATTCTCTTTCCCACTACACTGCCTCTATTATTCACATCAAGAAATAATTGGAAGATAGAAATAGCAATAGCACTTAGACTTATATACCACTTCGTAGTGCTTTATAGCCCTTTCTAAGTGGTTTACAAAGTCAGCATACTGCCCCCAACAATCTGGGTCCTCGTTTTGCTGAACTTGAAAGGATGAAAGGCTGTGTCAACCTTGAGCATGGTGAGCCAAATTGCAGGCAGCTGACAGTCAGCAGAAGTAGCCTGCAGTATTGCATTGTAACCACTGCACCACCTCGGCTCTTGATATTTAACACGCATCAATATTTTACTGTATTTTTGATTCACTTACTTGTGCTCCTGCATAAGGCGCTGTATTCCTTCTCCACAATTAAAAAGATACCTGAAAGGGAAAAATAATTAGAATCATGATAATCCTATCTCTAATAGCACAATGAGAGCTTCTGAAACACTAAAACACAGCTGGCACAGGTTTAACAAAAATGGAAAGGGGTTGCTTTATTTTATAAATCCATAGAAAATTATTATACAACAACACCAATAAGACCAAGGAGCTTAAAGTGGATTATAGAAGGAAAAGACCAGACATCCAGCCCTTGCTTATCAATGGAGACCGAGTGGAGCAAGTGGCCAGTTTTAAGTTTCTGGGTGTAACCCTAAAAGAGGATCTGACCTGGGGTGCCCACATTGCAGCCCTGGTCAAAAGGGCCCAACAGAGATTATACTACCTGAGGCTTCTCAGAAAACAACAACTGAATGAGAAACTGCTGGTGACCTTCTACCGCTGCACCATAGAGAGCATTTTAACATACTGCACCTCTGTATGGTTTGCCAATTGCACAGTGGCAGATAGGAAAGCTTTCCAGATGGTTAATGTCATTGCCCAGAAGATCATTGGTTGCCCTCTCCCCTCTTTGGAAGAGCTTTATAGCTCCCGCTGCCTTAAGAAAGTTCAAAACATTCTCAAAGATCCATCTCATCCTGGGAACCCTTTTTTTTTTGAACTATTACTACCTGGCAGATGGTACAGAATAATAAAAACAAGGACAAATAGGCTGAAAAACAGCTTCTATCTCAGGGCAGTAGCTCTTTTGAATTCTGCTGTATAGTACAGTGTTGGTGTGGTGTTGGGGGTTTCCGGTTCAATGTGTGAAGGATGTGTGTTTGTGTTTATTTTCATGGTCATGGTCATGATGTGCACTGAAGATGGTATTTGATTTCATTGTACGAGGTGCAATGACAACAAAGTAAAGTAAGTAAAGAGAGGACCAGAATCCACAGTATCTTACTTTTTAGTTCAGGAACATTACTATTATATCAAACTGGTATCATGAACAAAAAAATAAGAGCAAGTAAGAGGAAACCCAACAGCTTCTTTAACAGCTTTAATTCTCTTTCACTAGAAAATATACTAAGTGCCTGAGTGTTAGTATTGCTTAGAAAGAGTGCCAAGTAAGATGAAATGTCTTTTCTCTATGTACACTTACTTTTGGGGCGGCTATCTAAGACAAAAAAAGAAAATATGATTGCTCTTTACTAATTGAGGGTCTCTTTTTCCCGACAAGCTGCTTTTCCTTCAACATAAAGCAGGAGACCTTGAATGCAGGTCCCTGTTAGCCATGAAAGCCAGCTGGGTGATCTTGTGCCAGTCATTCCCTCAGTCCAACTCACCTCACAGGGTGGTTGTTGTGAGGAAAATAGAAAAGCAAAGGTGTGTTGGATATATTCACAACCTTGAGTTTTTTGCAAAAATAATAAAGGTGGGATACAAATAAATACATAAAATAATAATGGCATTATAGAGAACCATAAGCTTTTCAAAGATATATTTAATGTCAACTATGAGTTTTCTCCCATACAATGCTAGTCTCACACACATGCATAAGAATACACTTCCTATGTATAATTAGATAATTAGTTCTTCAGATTCTTACACCATCATTAACAGAATGGAGGCCAATGCATTGCAGGTAGTCCTCGACTTACGACCACAATTGAGCCCAACATTTTTGTTGTTAATTGAGACATTTGTTAAATGTATTTTGCCTCATTTTACGATCCTTTTTGCCATTAAGCAAATCATTGCAGCTGATGAGTTACTAACCTTTGTCAAGTCACAAAAAGTGATCACATGAGTCTTGGACACTGCAATGGTCATGAATATGAACCAGTTGCCAAGCGTCTGAATTTTGATCACATTTATCGTGGGGATGCTGCAAAGGTCGTAACTCTGAGAAACGGTCATGAAGTCACTTTTTGCAGTGCTTTGAACGGTCCCTAAAAGAACCGTTGTAAGTCGAGGACTATCTGCGCTGCAGTGAACAGAAAGGAAGAAATTTCGGCTCCTGCGACGCCCCTTGCGCGTGTCCCATGGTACTCGGGAAAGAAGGGCGAGCATCGGGCGGAGACTAACCGGTTGTACTCAGAGAAGACGTAGACCGCCGCTCCCATGTCTCGCGATCCTCCTGCCACCACCTGTACGTAAACGGTGTTGGGGCCCTTGCGGTCAATGGCCCCGTGGCGTTTCTCCCGCGTGCGAAGGTGCCGCAGCGGGTCCTTCGGGGGACGCTGAAGACGGGCTCCCCCTCCAGACATGGCTCTGGCCGTCACTCCCAGCAGATGCTTCCACATGTAGGTGAGAGAAGGGCGCCGCATCCAGCCCGGGGATCGGCACGCGCTTGCTCGCCAATCTCCCCCACGTGACCGAGGTCGGGACCAATCCTATGTTAGAACGAAGCGTTCTCCTCCCCACCCCCACCCCCCGGCCGCCAATCACAGGACAGAAACTGACCATAGAGGCTTTGGAGTTGAGGTGAGTGTTCCGGTTTCATTTCTCTGTTTCCAGTGTGTGTTTGTGTACGACCATAGAGACGACAAAGCGTTTCAGAGCAGCGGTTCGTTTTTGTTGCGTCGCTCTAAATGCGCAGCGTGGGGAATTAAGATAGGGTGAGATCTGGGTTGCAAAACCGAATTAACTAAATTGGGGAGGACAAAACTGACTTGTTCTCGCGATCAACTAATCCAGTTTTATAGCCTTCTAGCCCGAGCAGTGCCTCAAATTTTCTGACAGTGAGAACAATCAACCAATGGAACAGCTTGCCCTCGGAAGTTGTGGGAGCGCCATCACTTGAGACCTTCAAGAAGAGACTGGACTGCCATTTGTCAGAAATGGTGTAGGCGTCTCCCGCTTGGGCGGGGGTTGGACTAGATGACCTATAAGGTCCCTTCCAACTCTGATTATCTGTTATCTGTTAAACTGACATCCCTCCGTATAATTCACCCATGTCTTTTGCAGCAAAAGAGCCATTTATCACCTTAAAGACTAATGTTGATTGTAACTAAAGCTTGGACTGAACAGTCCATTTAAGTCTGTAGGGCTCCATAAAACGAATTCATTGAATATGACTGTCTGGAAAGTCCAGATTCCTAAACTTTGACTAACATCTGCAAAGGGAATAATTATTGAGAGTCTTTAACAAGCTGCACTTTTAGACCTAATTATATGATCACTGAAGCAAAAAACAACAACAACAGTCAAGAGCAAGAGAATGTTAAATTCAGTAAACATGTTCATTTGGAGTGTAATTGAACTGAAATATAACAAAGGAAAAATCTACTCTTCTGAGAAATATATTGAAGAATACTCCTCCTCTGAGAAATATATTGAAAAATACTGTATTTCAGTGAATGTCACAACAAAAAGGCATTCATATAAAAAGAAATATGTGATATTGATTTAACAATATTTTGCTGCATCTAAATCAGGTGGCTTATGATTAAACACCAAAAGATGTATTAAAGGTAGATCTGTTATGCCCCTAGGCTTGCAGGATTGCAAAACAAAATTATAGTCACAGAAAGCAGCTATTGGATGTAGTTTGTGCTTTATTAAATTTATATCGGTATGTATTGGAAGAACAGCAAGGGAATAGAAGGGGTGCAAATTGCTGAAAGCAATTTTTAAAAAGCCAACTAAGTTAGTACACTCACTGGTTCTCTAAAATCATAAAGGTAAAGGTTTCCCCTGTCCAGTTGTTTCCAACTCCAGGGGGCAGTACTCATCTGTTTCTTAGACGAAGGAGCCACACACAAAAGCTATTTCCAGGTCATGTAGCCAGCATGACAATACATAAAGACACATGGAATACTGTTACCTTTCCACAAAAGTGGTACCTATTTATCTACTCGTATTTACATGCTTTTGAACTGCTAGGTAGGCAAGAGCTGCATGTGGTGCTCAGGCTTGAACCCAGGCTGTCAAGCTCAGCATCTTTAACTGCTGAGTTATTACGCTACTAGTATGTCTAAAACATACCAATACTCAAATGAAAGCTGTAAAAATTATACTTGGAGGTAAGATGCAGCAGATAAATTGTAACTGTAAATCTTCTATCAGATAAAGCAAGTCTAGTGGAAGAGCAATGTGTGGTACCTCCAGATGAACTGGTTACATCAATATATAAAGAGCAAGGATATGCACTAAGGACTTTGTGACTTGGCCAAATATGCAATCAGATACTGAGTAAAGGGCAAAGGGGTGTTTTTTGCATTCTTTGCACTCATTAATCAAAAGGTGTTATCACTATCACACATGATTCCAACTATAGAATGGGTTGGTTTTTGAATGATACAGAGCAAAGCACAAAAGTGAGGGTTGTTTTATTCATATATGGGTGTCTTTATTTTTGTAACACAAAAATACAAAAGCAAAGCATTTATCCTAACTCTATCTATTCCTCATGCTTATTCTTGATAGTTTATATTGTTACCAAAGAGTAGAAAATACCTGATTCCAATGCTATTTCTATCATAAAAGTACAATTTAAGAAGTGTAGGAAGAAAATCGCCATGGCATCTTTACTCTGCTTCTTACCTGACCTTCCAATGAACCCTGGGGCTGAGAACGCTTCATTCTAGGATTGATCCAGGCTTAGTCACTTAAGGAGCTGGATTCTTTTGTATATAGCAATAGCACTTAGACTTATATACCGCTTCATAGTGCTTTACAGCCTTCTCTGAGCGGTTTACGGAATCAGCATATTGTCCCCAACAATCTGGGTTCTCGTTTTACCAACCTTGGGAGGATGGAAGGCTAAATCAACCTTTAGCTGGTGAGACTCAAACTGCCAAACTGCTGGCAGCCGGCAGTCAGCAGAAGTAGCCTGCAGTAATGCATTCTAACTACTGTTCCACCACAGCTCTTATCCAGTGTAATATTTTTTCCCACACCATTCTTGTAGCCCAACATGTTTAAATATACTTTCAAATCATAACATGGGGTAGCCCCCAACAGTTACAATTCAGCCCGAAATTACTGTTGCTAAGCAAAACAGTTGTTAAATGAGTTTTGCCTCATTTTATGACCTTGCTTGCTATAGTTAAGTGAACCACTGTTAATAACACAATTGTTAAGTAGATCTGGTTTCACCATTGACTTTGTTGTCAGGTGGTCGTAAAAGTTGAACACATGACACTGCAACCTGGTATACTGCAATCAAAAATGCATGCCGGATCACATGACCATGGGGATGCTGCAGTGGTCATAAGTGTGGAAAAACTGTCATAAATCATTTTTTCAGTGCTGTTGTAACTTTGAACAGTCACTAAACGAATGGTTGTAAGTAGAGGACTCCTTGTATTTTAAAGACAGTCTATCTGTAGAGGCAGATACTACTGTATTAAAATTAACTTACGGGCCATTGTTGAAAAATATCTTTCAATATGTCCAATGTTAAAATATTTTGCTTCATTCTGTAATTGTGAATTTGAGTGTTCTTTAATTATAACTTAAATCCTCTTTATTGTACATTTTTAAAAGTCTTATCTTACTATTTTGTAAGTATTTAAAAAAGCATTTTTAATGGGAATTTCTTCAGAATTCCTTCAAAATCTTATTTCAATTTTACCTGGACTTTTAGTTCATTTGTCACTTTCTAAAATCAAACTTTTAAATCACCTTTTGCTGCTTATTCTGAAAAAAAAAAACCTTTTTAAGTCCTTACATTTGTATTTAAAACTTCTTTCGCTAAGAATTGAAGGAAACTCATCCAGTGCTGTAACACTTGCCAATCCAAAGGTTCCTAAATAGCTGAAAAGCAGTTAATAAGCAACTTCTGAAAATGATTAGAAAAGGAAATACGTGGACTTAGTGTTGTTTCAAAAGTACCAAGCACAGATTGAACAAACTGGCTATTTCCTCATCACCCACAGCTGTAAATCTGCCAGTGACCACTATCTTAGCAGTCTCCTCTATGGGAGGCTCTTCATTCTGCTTGGCTCTGCTTGTCATGGAGCTGATTTGTCTCTACCTTTTCTTCAGCAGAACAATTTATAGCATTTTTTAAAATCAGAAGATATTCTGAATTTCCATTATAATAGTTTGGAATAATCTTCAAGTATTATGAAGAGATTTTAGTTCCTGTTTTTAACTTTTTAATGATTCTTTTTTTTTAAAAGTTTGCTCAAGTCAAATGTTGGACTTTTTTGATAAATGCCCAGCTATTTGCATATCAAAGATTACTCTTCATTTACTGCTGAATTATTCCATATTATAATAAAATTTTTCAAAGGAACATTAATTTTTTTTAAGTTACATCAATGTTAATAGCACTTAGACTTATATACCGCTTCACAGTGCCTCTCTAAGCAGTTTACAGAGTCAGCACATTGCCCCCAACAATCTGAGTCCTCATTTTATCGACCTTGGAAGGATGGAAGGCTGAGTCAACTTTGAGCTGGTGGGACACAAACTGCCAAACTGCTGGCAGCCTGTGATCAGCAGTAGTAACCTGCAGTACTGCATTCTAACCACTGCGCCACCTCGATTAAACTAGAATTCTCCATGACAATGTCAAAAAATTCACAACATTGTAATTACAAATATTAAATAAAATGGTCGAAAATAACTGGAGAGATAAACCCAGCTTCTTAATGCCTACAACATGCAAGTGGGGTACAATTTGAATTATTCTGGATTGTATAATGTTTGTCCAAATAATTTAATAAAATGGATCATGATGAATTTATAATACCAAACAGGATCATGATGAATTTATAATACCAAACAGAAAAAAAGAGAAACTAAAAAATGAAATGCTCAGGAATATATTTTATTTGAACAATTATAAAAAATGACAAATAGCAACTTCTTCTTTAAACTCAAAAAACTAGTGGTATTGTTATGCAAAATGAGAAAGAAGGGCAACACAGAGACGATGGGAAATTTAAAAAATTAGTGTAATATTTTTTCCATAATGTAAAGCCAATAATGTTAATTCAAAAACATTCCAAGGGTCTATATGAGAATACATTCTATTAATCATGCCTTTCTATCTACCTGGCAATTTAGAATGGACAGCCACCAAAAAGCAACATCTGAAAGAGCAAATCCCATATTCTAATTGTTTGTCGTAGACATATATATATTCTGCAGTACATTAAATACAATCTTTTGGTATGATTTCTAAAAATAATGTAATTAAGCTTTCATGTATCCTTTTGCTCAGATCCACATATTATTTCATTTTCAAACGTTTAAGGGCTTCTGAATCTATTGCTCTCTAGAAAACTCTTCATCAGCACTTCACAATTGTTGTAAATCATGTTGGGTATTTCCAGTATACTTTTTCAAGTATTAGGTATACTGATTCAGCATTCCTGCTGCTGCACACTAGAAACAAGCAGTAGCAGATTTGTGCAAATGCAAAAACTAAGGGGAATTAGTATTGCAGTAATAAAACTTTTCCTTCTGTTTCTAATCTCCCGTTAAACAATCCATGCAGACGAAACTGATGCCTGACGCTGGACACATAATTATACCTAAAATTAATTCTCTAATTATCTGTCCAGCAAAGTAAGCCCTTGCCTGTCTAAGGTAGAAGCAACATAAATACTTTAACTAAAAGATTCAATAGAATTAATATGCTATCACAATCTGAATTAGAATTATTTTTACTACTTTAGTTAGATTTTATACTGTTAAGTGACAGACAAAATCAACAAATGATTTCTTTTCTGGCAGGAAAATTTTAGATCTGATGGGGGGATGGGAAATAACCATGTATTTTAGCTCAGCAGTAGTGAATCAAAAACACCCTCTGGAATATTGTGAGCCTAACTGGTTGCAAGATACTACAGTCAACCAAAGTATTAAAATGGAAGAACATATGTGTGGAAGGGGAGGGTCCATCAGGTGTTGATTCCTTCCTCATAATCCAAGGTCTAAACCTAACATATTAATTTTAAGTAGTGTTTAGTATTTTATCAGCACAAAGGTTGCTTCAATTTTACCAATACTCAAAGTAGTTCAGAACAAGCTGCAAAAATCACTGGCAGCCTACTTTAACCTCATCCTTGCATACAACCCAAGATTTATCAGCCAAAGCAGCAATGGATGGCTAGAGTTTCTGGGACTAGAGTCCCAGCTCAGTTGAATGGCTTCAAAGAGAAATTATTCCAACCAACCAGTCACAAGAAAGAAACTGTGAAATAGATACGGCCACTTATAAACTTAGTCCATGAATGTAATCCATGAATGTACGCATAAGATTAGGTTAAGTTTTTTTGGCAGTTAGGAATATACACCAGCTGGAGCCTTATAGAAGGAAAACAAACCAGATCATCACGCAAATTGTAGTATACTTGGAAGATTCAGGCAGAGTCCTGAATTTTGACAACCAGAGCCATGCTAACAATACTCACAGCAGAAACAACAAAAGTCACCTAGGCAGCATCCTATATATTCCAATTTTAGCTTAGAACATGCTTCTAGTGTAAATGCAGCTATAAGGAGAATACTGAAATATAAGTAATATTATAAACACAGAGAGTAATCTTAGTTTCATAGCAAGTAAGAAAATTCCCAATATATTCATATGTACTGTACTATGAAAAAAAGATCATTAAGACCTCCAATTGTGTCTTTATCATTATTGTTGGTTTTGTTCCCTTTCCACCTTGCTGGCACAGCATGTATCTAAACTATTGTTTCTACTGCAACCTACTAAATCAACTCAATGGCGCCAACTTAACAGTAAAAAGGCTTTCCTGCAAGTCTTATCTCCCCCCTTGGGCAGCTCTTTAATAAACTGTAGTTACAGGATACCAAGCTTGGGACATAGTGGGATTGATCTTCAATTATGGAAAGGGGATAATAATTTAAATTATAACGAGTGGAATATAGCAATTAAGATGTTGGAGTGGGATGAGGAAATTTACCCATGGACGCTCAGTGGGTGACTTCCAGGTGATCATTGTTTTTCTCTCTCTGTCTCTCTCCTGGGTAAAAATTGGAAGCAGAGCTACGTGTACCACCTGGGGCTCCAGGATGAAAGACTGGGTATAACTCTTAATAAATTATCATAGACCATTGCAGCTGAAAACCCATGTCTTTTTCCAAACACAGTCAATAAAATTTCACAATAAGTCATTTCACCAGATTTTTCATAATACCTATAGATGACCCTCTGTAGCCTCTACCAAAGTGATTCCAGTGGTTCATGTAGTGAAATAGTTGATAAAGTTTGAGCCGTTTATCAAAGCCTGGCGCTTTGGGGATTTTACCATGGTAAGCAGAATAAAATGAACCACTGAAACCACCAAACATTCCAGCAATTGCCAACTCATACTCAGAGTGACCATAGAAAGAGGCAGGATCAAAGATAATAGGTCCAGAATCATCTTCAGCTACATTTCCTCCCCACAGATCCCCATGTAAGAGAGCAGGAATTATTTTCAGATCACCAAACAAATTGGGTATCTTCACCTAAAAAGAAAAAGAAGCAAACAATAAGCTTGACTGGAGAAATCATCTGTTATCTACCAGTAAGTAATCATTTAACTGTACAGTACCTTTAAGCAGAGAGAGAGACAGAGAGGCTTCTAGGCACACTAATTACAGTACACCTAATTGTACCGTTAAAAAAGCACATTAGTTTTACTGTTTTTATTTAATTTTGTTTGACAAGAAAAATAATGGATATAGCAGTAAGAACAGATAAGATGATTTAAAATTCAAAGGTGAACTGACCTTAAAACCTAGTAAATAAGATAGAGAATTGCACACCAAAGTCCTGCTCCAGAATCACTAAGTATAAATAGACTTGGATTACATTCACATAGCATGCTATGATCTTTTAACCAGGGTTTGTTAAATTTTGATCAGCTAAGTTCACACAATCATGATTTGCAACCCAGACTAGGTAAGTTCATAAAACATGCTAAGATCCAAAAAAGCAACCTGAGTTTCTGACTTTACATGTGGGTAACTCTTGTATGTGTGTCACTTAAAATTGCAGAAGAACTTGAATTTTTAAATTTAATATGTATAAAAGACTTAACATTCAAGCCACACCAAGAACACAGCAGAACCAAAATTTTCTTTCTTTTTCATATATTATCAATGCAGTAGCAGCTGTTCATTGGTTTACTACAAAATTCACAGACACACACACAAACTCTGTGTGTGTGTGTGTGCATGTCATGTATGTGTGTGTGTACATACTATACATACATATAATTTTAAATTGAAATAAGATATATATGGATTATTTATCCACTGGCTGTAATAAAAACAATATTACTAAACTGAAAAAGGGGCTACTAAGGAATATTAAGCTGCAAAGCAAAATCTGCTTACAGTATCTCTAAATAAGTCATACAGAAGTTACTCTTAGCTAGATTCTATAGAATGTGTTATGAATGTGCTGCCCTGCAATAAAAAGCTTTGTAAGAATACACAAGTGGCATCTATACCAGTTTGACCCAATGAAATGGTTCATAATAGATTTGAGAGATTAAATCTTAAAAAGGAAATGGTTTTCATGTTTCACTTCTTATAAGTTTAAGATAACCAACAGAAAGTACTACAAGGTAAAGGAGCTCTCCTTAACCAGTTTGAGTAGTATGGAAATTATATTGCTTTGAAAATATGAGGATGCCATTTTGAATTTCCATAAAGATCACTACCTGAAGTTGAGCCCAAAGCTCTCTTGCTTCTCTGTCTCCTGAATTCTTCTCAATCAAATCCATCTGGGGCTGAATTCGTTGCCTAGCAAAGAAATTTATCCAGTCTTGTTGCCAGTCATTAACCTGCAAATAAAGTTTTTTGTTGTTGTCTTTGCTATGTTTGTCCATCAAATGAACATAATCATTTCCATTACATTGTCTATTTTAATCACATTTTTGCAATGTTTACACATTTGTAGCGTTTATAATACAAATCAATTAATATGAATCTATCTCCCCAATTTGAGTGTGTTTTTGGGAATAGATTCTAAGAAGAAATCAGATTGAATATTTTGCTCATTTCTTCGCCTACATACCATCCCAGTAATTCCTAATATTTTAAATAATCACTTCCTAAGATTTTGGATTGTTGCCATTGGGCTGCATTGTTAAAAGTAACATCTTAAGTAGCATCTAAAGCTTGGCTAATTTCAAAATACTGTGCCAAAATACTGTTTTTAGAGAAAATCCTGGCACAATAGTATCACATTTAAATCACATTTTGGACTCTACTCAGATTGTTGGGGGCAATATGCTGACTCTGTAACCCGCTTAGAAAAAGCTGTAAAGCACTGTGAAACAGTAAGTCTAAGTGCTATTGTATTAATTAGCTATTGCTACCATCATCCCCCTTAATTGCAAAGTACATCTATTTTTCAAGGAAGCAGCAGCAATTCTGCTACTACAAAATGGGGATCAGACAATATATTGATGATACCAGTACTGTATTGGACTTTTTATACCAAATCGTACTTCTCTAAATTATCTCTTAAATTATTCATTCACACAAAATATGCACTGCTTTAAAGTGGGCAGGGCACAGTAGCATACCTGTCAATGCATCTTTTTTTAAAAAAATCTACAATTCTTTTTTGTCCTCACATAGCAGCCAACCATGTTGAGAAGCCATATTGGAAGAAATGTGGGTGAATGCTCAGTACCTCTCCTACTCAAACACATTTTTGTAGCATCACACAAAAATGCGCACCTAAGAAAAAATAGCTTCTTTACTGTCTCACTTACAGGTATGCTGTGTACACCCATACCATTTAGAAGCACTTTTTCTTGTTTGGAATCAAAACGCCACATATCTTTAAAAAGTGCACAGATTAGTGCTGTGCAGTACTTTAAATAGGTGTGCCAGTATAAATGAGGGTGTGAACACTGCTCCTCTCTGCAACTCTGAGACAAATATTCCCTTTTCACATTTATGCAGTAGCTGCAGAAGTAGTCACACAATCCTTGGAAAAGGCAGGGCTGCTTTAAGGATTTGCAAACAAGTATGTAGGTATGAAGAGTAACACAACAAAGCAAAAACAATAAAAGCCTACCTGTGGAAGATAACCACAACAAGTGACAGAATGAAACCCAAACTCTTCCACAAACTGAATATCCATCTGACTTTTACCTTAAATGGGAAAAAAGAAATAGTTTCCTACTACAACAGATAAGTACCCTAAACACTAGATTATTTTGCTCTTCTAAATGAATCTAAATCTTCTAAATGGATGCAGAAATAACTGAGATTGTGTATGTGAGTGAGTTCAAGCTACATATTTTCATATCTCATATAAATATTGCTCTTCAATGTCCAATTGAATTTCATTTAACAATGAAACAAGATATCCAATACTGAGGAATATTAAACATTTAAAAGATGGTCCTTATGAAAATCATATTGACAAAGAACTACTTTATTGCTATTGACCATCTTTCTATTCAAATAAAAGGAATTTTTTAGGGCTCTACAACCAGCTTTTGTAGGAGGTAAAGCAAAGCTGTTAGAAGCATTAACAATTCAACATACAATAAATTTCTGGGATTTAGAAATTCTCAAAACAGCTAAACCATTTACCAATAGTGTTTGCATCTTTCTTCAACTTTTCCCCAAGCTTTTGATTATGAAGATGAAGATCAGCCAACTGCATCCCAAGTTTTTCTGCATGTCTAAAAAATCAAAACACATTATTCTTATCAGCAAGTGCCAAATTAACAATCTGAACAAGAATTTGGTTTTGGTTGAAATGACAATGGGTATTGTTAATACCCTACCCCCTGAAGATGTCACCTGGCCTGGTAACGAAACATTCAAACATTCGGAAACCAATCCACAAACTGAGAGAACGAACCTTCACCCTCATCCTACTATACCTGAGCTACAGATATTTGCTACTATTGCAATACCCTGGTACTTGCTGGACCTTACACTGAGGATTTGTATCTTAATCTGACCGTAGTGTTGCTTCAAACTTGGATTATAGTACTGTTACTAGCTTTCAATATTTTTTAACAAAATGTGATACATTTTCATATTTAATAACAGCACACTCAAACTAGTAATTCATTATTTTATTAATGTACTACAAATATTTATCTACTATATAAAAGCTTTAAAAATGCTGGTATAACTTGGGTACAGACCATCCCATATATTCTGGTTCCTTAATATTGCTCTCTTTTAGGTCAGATTTCACAAACTTCAATGGATCATCTCTAGCATTAGTGACTCAGTGCTGCTGGCCTTCCTAGCAGTGAACTGCCAAAGCTCAGACTGTATGACTTCAGCAACCACACCTCCCTGCCCCATATTTATTCTACAGTCTACTGTGAAAACCTCCTGAGAATCTAGAATATGTGCAATATTTGATTACTTTTCAGTTAACTACTTAACTGAGACTGTATACAGTACTCCCAAGTTTAACTTAGCCTTGGTTTAACCCAATTTTCTTTGTTCCCAAAATGAACTGTAAATTTACCATAAGAGACAGATTTGTCTCAAGGAAAGCTGAATTGTCGCAGTCTAACCTGCGACTCATGGAGTCATATAAGCACAGTCTAAAGCTGGTTTAGTACTGTCTTGTTTTTAAAATATTGTACATTTTTGTCCTCATAACTTTACCCATTGAGACTTCTCATGTCCAAATGTTCCATCACAAATAAAGTACCACCTTCTGGCAAATCAATAACTTTGATAGGTTTAGGAACTTTCACAGTCTGTGTTTGCAGAATAGCAGCTAAACTTGCCATTTCTCCATCAAACATTCTTCTGGCCTATTGAATATAATAAGAAAAAGCTATTAAAATATTTCTCCTGTATTGAATAGTAGCCCTTTCCAATAGTCTACATTTAAAAATAATAATAACAGTAAGTTCCGCACAAATTATTTATTCTATTCAGAACAAATATAAAAGCCATATTGTACAGTTCGCATTTCTTTATGACCCTGCTGCCAGATTACACTAAAGAATGGAAGGAGCATACAAGAATGTGTTCTGCTCACATTCTATTCCTTTCCCTATAAGCCAAAATAAAGATTATTTACAATCTCTTACAAAAGCAAGAGTGGACAAAATAAACACAGAGAAAAGTTGTGTAATGCCTTGGAAATCTTGGGAAGGTAGTTTCAACAAAAATACAGCTAGGGATTTCTCTCAATCTTATTAATATATACAAGAATTATACGTGTATATCTGTGTATGTGCATGAATGCATATATACATACATCAACGTCTAATGCTAGAGAGAACTAGTTTGTTATATGATTAAGGCACCAAGCTAGAAACCAGGAGACTTGTGATTTCCAGACCTGCCTTAGGATCAAAACCAATTGAGTGACCTCAGGTAGAGGACAATAGCAAAGCATTTCTGAAAAACCTTGCCTGACTGCCTAGGGACTACAGTTAACAACAGTCAAAAACTGACTCAAAGGGTTGCATAAATAAATGCCAGAAGTTACACTCAAAAAATAAGGAAATAATAAATCATTTACAGGAATGGAATAACTACTCATTAAAAGTAATTCCTTATAAAATGAAGTATCCTATTTATAAAATTAACTGATTCCCTTTGCACATGCAAACCACTTACACACAGATACATGCAACCTACATACACATATTCCGCTCTTCCTTTCCAGCAAAACAGAAAAAGAAAACAGGACGGAGATGGGTTAGGAAACATAGCAGCTGCCCTGGGAAGAAGGAGAAAAAGGAACAAAAACAGAAATAATAGACTGAAACAAAAAGAAACCTATGTAAAGTAGGTACAAAAAGGACTGAGTTCATCAGGCAAAAATCTTGACAGGCAGCAGCTAAATCTTTAGGTTAATCTACAAATTATCCAGGTAATCTGTAGATCTGCAAACTACAAGTCCAGAAACATACTACTGTAATCCATCCCTGGCTTAACACATATAATAGAAATTCAAACATCTCAATGTTTGCATTTCTGCAGCCTGTGAAGCTGGGAAATCTTCAGAGAGGCCACTATTCCCAGGAAGTACTGTGTAATACAGTCTCCTTGCTTCCTTTGTTCATATAATGTTCTTTGATGAGTTTATAGTTCCTACAGCTAACCATCTTTCTCAAAGTCCTACTATTCAACTGCATTTATCCTAGGGCTGCACATATCTGAATAACCAATAGATGGTGGCCAAGAATTCCATAAATCCTGACTCTGCTTCTTAACAGCAACATTTTTTTAAAATGTTCTGTCTGTTGATACTACCACAGGAAAAACACGTAGTGCATGGATAACCTAAAGTATTCAATCTTCTTGTTGTTCAGCAATGCAAAGAAAGCACTCTGCTGATGATTAAAGACACTTCAGTTTATTATTTCATATCCTACTAGAAAAAAATGGACTTTTAAATGGATTCAAAGTGATTACTACAAAGTAAAAGGTTCTTTAAGGGTTCTGTTTGCTAGGCAAATTCAACAGTCTGAAGTTAAGTAAAACATTGTTTAACACTGTGCAACACAAGAAATGCTGCATACAATTTGTATTCTCAAAAGCACCCATATCTCTGAGCCATGGGTTATATATAGTGTTGCATGTAGTAGACAGGCCCTATGGCCATGTAACCACTCAGAGTTGTTCAGGCTAAGGTCGCCTTAAATCTAATTTTAAAAAAATTAAATTTTTCATTGCTGAGTTGAAATGCTATTCATTCACCATAAGTTGGCAAAACAGTATACCAGTATAAATCTTGTGTTGCTTCTCTTTCCAATAATATATTTTGGAACAGACAGTATCTGAAGAGGGTAGAAACACTGACATAGTATTAGAATCTCTATAGGCTTACTAATACAACTTAAGCCTGCACCACCAACAAAGGTAATCCTCAAAGAGACACAGCAGAAAGACATAGCCAGGACATGTACATTTGAATTGGATGTTTCCACACCTATGGGTAATCCTCAACTTACAACAGTTCGTTCAGCAATGGTTCAAAGTTACAACTGCACTGAGAAAAGTGACTTATGACCATTTTTCACACTTACGACCATTGCAACATCTCCATGGTCACGTGATGAAAATTCAGACACTTGGCAAATGACTTATATTGATGACAGTTGCAATGTCCAGGGATCATGTGATCACCTTTTGCGACCTTCTGACAAGCAAAGTCAATGAGGAAGCCAGATTCATTTAACAACCGTGTTGCTCACTTAATAACTGGAGTGATTCAATTTAACATCTGTGGCAAGAAAGGTCGTAAAGTGGAGCAAAACTCGCTTAGTAAGTATTTCACTTAGCAAGAGAAATTTTGGGCTCAATTGTGATGGTAAGTTGAGAATTCCATGTATAGGGTATAATGGCTTACTCTATTAATCCAGTTTCCTCAACACACACACAAAAACTGGGGCCCAGGAAAATCTACAGACGAAAAGAAAAATACTGCCTATCAATATCTCCCAACTTTTTTTTCAGGGCAACCCAGGTCTGCCAACCTGCAACCTGGACCAGAGGAGACATGATAACAGTGTCCAATATTTGAAGGGCTGCCACAGAGAGGAGGGGGTTCAAGCTATTTTCCAAAGCCCCTGTAGGCCAGACAAGGAATAATGGATGGAAACTGAGCAAGGAGAGATTAAACCTGGAAATAAGGATAAATTTTCTGACAGTGAGACCAATCAACCAATGGAACAGCTTGCTCTGGGAAGTTGTGGGAGCGCCATCACTGGAATCTTCCAACAAGAGACTGGACTGCCATCTGCCAGAAATAGTGTAGGGTCTCCTGCTTGGGAGTGCGGTTGGACTAGATGACCTATAAGGTCCCTTCCAACTCTGTTAATCTGTCTATCTAACCTCAGAAGAATGCCCCTCTGCGGTGCTCTTCCCTTGGCTTAAGCTTTCAAGAAGCATACAACTCCCTCCCCTCCCCTCCCCCCCGTTCTCCCCGTTGCAAGGAAAAGCCTCGCTTGGTGCAGGTACATTCAGAAGGAGCCTTAGTAGAAAACCTCACAGCCAACCAATTAACCACCCGAGAGTAGGCGCTCCTTTTCTAGCCTAACATTCCCGGCCTAACCCAATCTGCGTCCTCCCACCTCGGCCTTGTCATTGCGCTTCACGTAGACCTTCCCGTGGTCCGTGTGGAAACTCTCGCCGTGGCTGATGCAGCCTCCCCCCGAGTGTCCCGCAGGCCGCAGCTCCGAGGTGCCAAGTTCTCGCCGCAAAACCGCCTCCATCGCAGGAGGTCCTGGAAAAGCTGGACCACGCACCGACCCGGCGCCCCTCTGCGGATCCCGAGACAACCGGGAACCACAATCCCCGTCCCCCCTGCGCTAGCCGAGACACCCGCACTCCGGCCAACTGAAACGTAACGGCGATGCTGAGCGCCCGGAAGAGGAAAGCCCGGCTCTGGGCAGGGCAGCGCCTCCGAAAGATCCTGCGGCTGCCTGCATCGCTGCAATGAAAGGAAAGTTGGCCCTGAACCACTATTTGTTCCTTGTCTGGATTCGCACTAGGAACCCAGCTTGGATTAATTATAATTCGGAAGAAGCCAGAATCTTGAAGTAAACCCAGAAGCCATGATTAATTTCATTGGGGAGCATCTTTGGGGACTATAAGTGGTTGCACATACACACATAATGCTAACTCATGGTTGTTGAATAACGCATACTATCAGCTAAGCTCTAACAAGATTTCTTTTGACATCATTGCATGTGAATCAAATCTGAACCAAAGCAAAGCAAGCTTCACTGGGACTTCTTTAGTGTATTGTGTGAACTGAGTTAGATTTCTCTTGTAATTTAGAGTATACCAGCACACCCCTTCTGTATTAACAACAACAAATTTAAATTTTGGTTTTGCCCCTCTAATCTACATTATTTAAATGATTTATACCAGTATTTCTTAAATGTAATCCAAGTATCTTTCAGGATCTGCACTACCAAAATTATTTGCCAGCCTATGCTGAAAAATAATACAATATTAAAATCCCATCAAACAATCATCAGAAGCAGTAAAGGCAGCAAATGTGTTTATTTGATTTTTGAATATGGTAAATATCAACAAATATAACCCATAAACAAAAGGTCTTTTGTCACCCATAATTTTAAACAGCGAGAAAGGGCCCTGAGAGGAAAAAGCCTTAAGAAACACCAGTTTACACAAATCTTCCTTCCTATACATTTGTTGCAGAAGGACCTTTGGATTTCTTTTAAGTCTCTGAAAGCATACATGCAAGAAACTTAATGCATTTAAGAGTTGTTTTAAATAGTAAAGTTGTGTCTTGACAATATTGCTTTCCAAAACAGTAACAGAACCCTTAGTGTTCAATGTGCGGAATAAATACTGTAAATACTGTAAAAGTCTTTATTTTCTAAAGACTTTTACCCCCAAAAAATCTTTTTCATGTCCTCCAACCTGCACCTTTCCTTCTCTCTGTGGATAAAAGTCCATCAGCTATATAGGCTCCAGCCTCTAACCATATGTAGACTCCCTACTTTATAGCTCTTTCTATACAGAACACCAAAGAAACCAAAATATAATAATTTAAAATAATATGAATCTAGCTATGTTTGTTCAGTGAGCTATGTTCAGTCCAACCATGGCTGGATTCACATCATGTTATATGTGCATCAAGAGAAAATTTTTACAAAAACAAATCTGTTTTTTTTTAATCTTATTGAAAAGAACAAAGAAATTTGAATTTGTAACAGTTCGTTGATTGATTGAATGACATTTTTCCATGGTTAACCTAATTTGCATGACACACCTAACCACAAAGTAATACACAGGTTATGTTTATACAACATACCAATGCAAATTTTTCTTGGATAGTTTGTGGTTCAGGTTATGCTGAGAACACAACCAGTGCAATGATGACAACAGGCTTAATATCATTTCAGTAATGGCTGAGAAATGTAGTGGCCAGTATGAAATTGGATGTTCACATTGAAAACTCAGTCATGTGTCTATTTCCTTTCTCTTGTCATTGAAGTCACCTATCTTCCTTCTTATCTAAGAAGGTCTAACAGATTTTGTAGATATTGGGATAAGAAGGAAAATAACTCCTCTAAACACTAATATAACTGAGGACAATTTTAGTCTGTTTTTCTCATGGTCTTGGGACAAGAAAAACCTATCTATCAGTGTAGAAAACCTATCTGCCAGGTTAGGGTTAGCTGCAACTAAAGAAAGCCCCTTTGTGTGCTGATAACATAATATACTGACAATATCTTTGTAGCGTTGGTTATTGTCCAGAAGAGATTGTCATGAGAAAATTAGTAAATGAACATAAATATGTCATTTAGGATTTAAAAAATTCACTGGAAATCAACCTAAATGACATCATTGACAAGAAGAAATGCTAATTCTGGATAATTGGAAACCAACTATCAACAATTCACACACAAACAGTGAATGGTCATTACACAGATAGTCCTCAACTTACGAGCACAATTCAGCCTAAAATTTATGTTGTTATGTGAGAAATTTAAAAAGTGAGTTTTGCCCCATTTACGACTTTTCTTTCCACATTTGTTAAGTGAATCACTGCAGTAGTTAAATCAGTAAAATGATTGTTAATGAATCTGATTTCCCCATTGACTTTGCTTGTCAGAAGGCTGCAAAATGTGATCACATAACCTAAAGACACTGCAACCGTCATAAATGACTCAGTTGTCAAGCATCCAAATGTCAATCACATGTCCGTGGGGATGCTGCAATGGTCATAAGTGTGAAAAACAGTCATAAGTCACTTTTTTCAGTGTTGTCGTAACTTTGAACGGTCACTAAGTGAATTGTAAGTCAAGGACTACCTGTATTTGAATGTGTTTAAGTTAAGTGATTATGTCTTGTAAATAATGACTAAGCAAGAAGTATAATATTGAATTACATATGTTTAATATATTAACTTATAAAACCCTAATGTGATGTATGAGGATATGTAAGAACTTAATAGTAACTGCACATGACCCAGAGCAGTCCACAGAGTACCAAGTAATACAAACCACATTTTTAAATATTTAGAGAATATAATAAGGGATAAGTGTATCTGTGTGCTTTTTTAATCAATGTTTTATTATATCTACATATGTTATGAAAGAAATAACTCAATATACTGAACTTCAGACTAACATTTGGAATATATTCCTACACAGTTTTCTCTTTTCCTAATAAGGATGTATTTCTAGTGCACAGTAACGTTCCAAAGATACCCTAATTGGTCAACCTGCTGTTTAATTAGAGTTTATTTCTGTGCAACAGCTGATTTCCTAGGCTGAAATTATTTGTGACTCACTAGTTAATATATACATACCAGCTTTAAAAAAAGACAGCAGCTGAGAATCGAAGAAAAGGTAATTGGTATCTGCTGGCTTTAATTTGCTGGTTTTAGATGAGTAAACAGAAAAGTATCTCTTAAAATGCCTCTTGGTATATGTTTATTCTCAAATATTTTAGTATCTTCTTTGGTTTCTGTATCATTGAAAGCTAGCTCAGGGGTACTTTTCAAAATATTTCTTTCATTTCTAATGGAAGTTTGTTCAAAAATTGATTTCTCTGTATTGTCCCACTGTATAAAAATAATTATTTTTAATATATAGATCAGTTTTTTAGACTACAGGTAATCCTCAACTTATAATCACAATTGAACCCAAATTTTTCATTGTTAAGCAAGACAAGTGAATTTTGCCCCATTTTACGATTTTTCTTGCCAGCTGTTAAATGAATCACTACAGTTGTCACGTTAGTAGCACAGTTGCTAAGGCAATCTGGCTTCCAATTGACTTTGCTTGTCAGAAGTGCAGAAAAAATGATCACGTGATCCAGGACATTGCCAAATACATGTGTTGCCAATTTTGATCACATGACCATGGGGATGCTGCAATGGACATAAGTGTGAAAAACAGACATAAGTCAATTTCAGTGCTGTTGTAACTTCAAACAGTTGCTAAAGGAAGGAATGTAAATTGAGTTAAAATAGTTCAGCTAATTTATGTAAGTGAATTTTCTCATAAATTCAAAACTCAGAATGGTTATAGCTGGAATCTCTCTTCCGGTCTGACATTTCATCTGGAAGTTTTAATGTCTATATCCAGGAGCACCTTTCCCTTTTGATCTATTACCACATCTCTGGACATTACTGTTCACTCTGTTGATATATAGCATAGATTTGGTGTCTTTTATTGTTTCTTACTTGCTCCTCCTTTCGATTACATCTAGCTGCTGCTTTACTGTACTGAAAGTACTTCTGTCCTGTACCAGTTCTGGCTGCAGTACTGATTAATGCTGGACCATTACTTTGTGTTTTGACTACTGCAATCATCTCTCTGGCCCTCCTATAATGCCCTGACTCATCATTACAGTTTTTTTTTATATCAGCCTAGTCTATGGAGATTCTTAGCCATCCACATCACAATTGTCCCAAATGTGCTTTTTCCAGAGGCAACTGGACTTTGTTTTTGCTTGGAGAAGTGTCTCTTTTTTGGGAGGGGGAACACCTTTGAAATACCAGCCTAGTATTTCATCCAACCAATGAAATGCCATCAGTCATCATCCCCTGCATTATTTTATGAAGTTTCCCTATTACACACAAATTATTTTTAAAATCTATATTATGGTATTGTTGGAAGAAATATCCATCTGGTTCAGTTCCAAGCCAGGAGAAAGACACTGGAAACATGGAGGCTGATTGGAAAGATGGTTTAATGATGAAGCAGAACCACATGGGTTCTGGGCAGCTGACTACATGGAGTTGAGAGTGGTTTTTTTTTTAATACCTTCTTGTTCTGTTCCTGTGCAAAAACATGTATTCTATTGGCTGTTGTCAGAGTCCCATGGTGCCATGTAGGGGTTAGTTGAGCTAAATTTGGTTGAAGTTTCTGAAGGTGATGCAATGAAGAGGCTTGTGTTCTGAAAGGGTGTTAGACAATTCTTATTGTGTCTTAATGGCTTTCCTCCTGTTTTGGCTCTTGGCTGAGGGTATTTGCTTATGAATAAAACTACTGTATCTCAAGTGATGACATCTGCTAGGGGCTATTTAAAAAGGTGGGGACTGCTTTCTCCCTCTTAAAAAACCATGTTTCTCCATTTCTCATCCAGGAAAATATAATATTCTGCCTTTTTAATATTCCTCAAAATATTTCATTCTACTGTAGCTTCCCACAGTACTGTAATACTTGCACATCAGTAATTGTTCAGTTCGAACCAAGGTCAAGAAGCTAAAAAAATTATTTGATCCAGTAACTATTAAATAACACTGTTAAACGACATATGACTCCACTGAGAACTGTCTTTACACAATATAATCAAAATCCGGTTTTCCTTGTGAAGTGTGCAAACCTCGACGGTGATAAAACGAGATTTACAGTTCACATTTGCTAATCTTAAATCCCGGTAGCATCGTACATTTTTTAATCTTGATTCATCGTACTCTTTTATTATGCTGAATCCAGATGCAGGACAGTCCTATTAACAAGACCTTGAAGTTGGAATCGGACGGAGCCACGAACCACGTTCCTGTATCTTTTCATAACACATGCCTCGTCCTCCGAAGTATAAACTCCCCCGTTCCGCATCTCTCGCCCTGTGACAGATAGACGTGCCAGCCAATCCTGAGTAAGAAATACCCCAGCAACTGAACGGCGGGGCCTCGAGGGGTGGGTCCGCGCTCACCAATAACAACATAACTCGGAATTCTGGGCTCCCGTTGTACCAATAGCAGAAGTCGTGGGCGCGGCTATAGAACCCGCGCTCCAATGGGAGCAAGGGGTGCAAATTGGTCGGGACAGTCTGACAGAGCTGCGCTCAGGTTGTAGCAACAACAACAGCCCGAGCTACTGCGACAGCAGGCGGGGGAGCCAGCTGGCGTCTTCGGGAACACGACGGCGCTCCGCGCGAAGGCTTCTGAGTCTCCCTCGGTGGCGGCTTGTCCCAGCGCTGTCATGAGCGGTCTTTCCCGCCTTCTCCAATTTCGGGGCATCTAGAGCAGCGCGGCGGGTTCTGGCCACACGACTCCCGTCGGTTCCTGCTCGCTGCGGGCAACGCGAGTCAAACCTGCGCAGTCAATTCGGGCGGGCTACCCGCCCTCCCACCCCATGGCGCCGCTGGAAATTCGCCCTTCCTTGTCTCGGTCCCGAGGACGCCCGTCGAAGCCCTTCGGTTCTTGCCTCCTGCTGCCGTCCCCGTGAGAAGACGCCTCCGCCTCGTCCAATTCTCCTCCGCCACCACCACCACCTTCTCTTATCCCAAGCTTGAGGGGTCGGGATATCGGCAGCCCGTCGGGACTCCTCCGCCGGGTGGGCTCGAACATGCCTTTGCCCTCGTGCTGCTGCTCCTCGTCCTCTTCGGTCCTCGGTGGCACAACTGGTGGCTCGGTGCCCCTCGTGGGCGCTGGGAGCTGATTCTCCGCAGAGACGTGGGGTGGGGTGGGGTGTTGAGAAGATGAACCACGTGGGCAGCCCTGTGAAAGCTTATGACTTTTTGCTCAAATTCCTCCTGGTGGGGGACAGTGACGTGGGCAAAGGAGAGATACTAGCTAGCCTGGAGGATGGAGCCACTGAATCTCCATATGGATACAACATGGGTAAGTGAAAACATGAATTGTACAGGTGTCCACCGCCAGAGCCTGAAATCTCAAGTGGGAACGCCTTTCCTTTTACCTTTCTCCAACACCACCCCAATCTACACCTGTAGGTTACATAGCAAGGAAGGCAGTGCTCAGGAAGGACTGTCTTGATACCTGAGTCACCCATAGCTAACTCCCACACCTTGATAGTCAGCTTAAAACTCGCATGGTAAAAACCTTCCTTCCCAGTTGCCTTGATACCTTTGCTTTAAGAAATAAAAAATGCTAGCCTCTCGATTTCTTGGTGGCTAATCTGTCCATTTACTTTTGTTAAATTCTGTTACTGGCATTCTTTATATTATAAAGGCTTCACACACATTTCCCTTGTATCAGGACCAATAAAGAGATAGTACTAAAAGGGAATTGTTATCTTTTCCTCCCATCTTAAAGCTTTTTACTCTTTTCGTGCTTTCTTTCCTCTCTGACTTGGCAACAGTGAAGGTAACAGGGAACAATACATTTTTAAAAAAAAAACACACACAGAAAATAATTTAAATTATTTGTACAAACTTATTTGTCAAGGAAAGACTCTGGACTTGGGAATTCAGTAGGAAAAAAATAAGGATTGTGTCAAACCCTAAAATCATGTAATTGGAATGCAGTATTTTGGCCATTAAATTAAATCCAAATAAAAACATTTCTAACAAATGGCTGTATGGCCTTTACTTGAATATATCCACTAAAGGGGAATGCAATACCTTTTTGGGCAATTGGTTCCATTATTAAATTGTTTTACTATCAAAAAGCCCCCTCAAACAAAAAAATCAGCCATCCTGTAACTTAAATCCATTATTCTGTATTCTGGAAATATAGGTCTTCAATCTTCCTTAGTAAGATCTTTTTTCAGCACATTCTGGTTTCCCTTTGGATTGTACACATCTTTTGCTATTTTTCCTTTCAGCTATTTAAAGATTGTTATCTATTTTTAATCTTGTTTTCTCAGAACTAATCAGTTCCAATTCCTTCAATCTCTCTTCCCATGATTCCGTTTTTAGTTGCCTGATCTTGTCACCTTTCCATGAACCTGTTCCATTTCATTTGTATCCATCTTAAACATGCCTAGGATGCAATGCCTGATCAATTTATTTTAAATTGGAAGAATTGCTTCCTGTGATTTGGAAACTGTACTTCAGTTGAAGTCATCTAAAATTATATTTGCATTTTTTGGTAGCCATATTCATTCTGTTGACTCATAATTTAGCTTAAAAACAATTACCACTCCCAAGATCATTTTAACAACTACACTAAAACCAAGCCCAATAATTAATTAATTAAAATACATTGGTATATAATAATATAAATAAACAAATCAGTATAAGCTTTAATTCTGCTCCTTTCATCCTGTTCTTTACAATTTCCTATACAACCTATTTTTGGAGAACTTTGGGCCAGACTATTAGTTCATTAGTTCTGTGCTTTTTTGGGTATCTGGTGTATTTTGTTGCTTTATCTGAGCAGGCGGTATATATTTATTTGAGCTTCTCCAAATAAACCATTATTGTTCTTCCCATCCTTCATTAACTTCAGCTAATTCTGAGCTTTGGCTTCTTGACTTCATATATAAGTTCAAATATACCCTCCTGTATTTTTTCTTGGTGATTTGTTCCTTTTTCCACCCTTTCTAGTTGTATTTCACCAAGCTTTTTTTTTTGTAACCGTCTTTTCCTCTTCCATTGTCCCCAATTCTTTTTGTACTGCAATTGCTTGTCGTTGTACTTTTTTAAAGAAAACCTCTCTATCTTTTCATGCCACAAAATCCTAGTTGTTGTTATTGATTAGGGGGCTGCCCTTGAAGACACTCAGAAGTTACAACTTCTGGTTCAGAATGTAACAGGTCTCCCAGTATTGGGCTCCCATGAGTTCACCCATGTCATACCTTTATTGTGCAAGCTGCACTGGCTCCGTTTTTTTCCGGGTTAAATTCAGGATACTGGTTGTCACTTACATGGCACAGGTCCTGGTTATTGGTGGGACTGCCTCTCCCTAAGACTATCTGCCCATCCCATTAGATCAGATAGGTTCTCCAGGTCCTCTCCTTGAAATCTTGCCCCTTAATGGTACTTTTGAAGTATGTCTTTCTCTAGGTGCCCATATCTTGTGGAATACCCTCCTGTCAAGGTGTAGAACATCTAACTTTCTAGCTTTTCTGAAGGCCATTAAGACTTGCTTTTTACTGAGATGCTGGGATTACATAGATAGAAAGTATGGAAGGAAGAGAGCTAAGCATGCTGTAGTAGAGCATCCCAAGGGGGTCAATTACAGCACAGGGTTTTGTTTTATTTTTTCCACTGTTTTTATTGTTTTATTGTTGTTTCATTTATTGGTGTTATTATTGTGAGTTACCCAGAGTTGCTTAAGATGGGTGGCCATATAAATCTTCTAAATAGATGAATAAATAAACCAGAATCCAGTTTTTTTTAAAGTCTAGCAACATGTTTGCTCAATTTTGTTTTCCTTTAAAATCAGTAACTCCAGTACTATATTGTCACTTTCCCCCAACTTTCCCTCTAATTATTTAAAGGCTTTTCCAACTTTTTCCAATTTAAAGTGCTATCCAACCATCCTTGAATTGGCAGAAAATTAGAAAAACATGAAAACTGCTGCACCCACACACAGCCTATCTCTATCGCTTGACTCACTGAAAAACGTTGCCATCTTTATTTTGTATGTTGTGTCGCATAAGCAAAGCAACTGAATTCTCTGATTTTACTGTTCTCCCTCTTCTGCATGTAACCAGCTAGGAAGAAAAGTATTCCCTAAATCACAGCACTATGGCAAAGCTGGAGAAGGTTTGATTGTTGGATTCTGTCTGCTCATCCCTAGATTCCATCCTCTTGTCTTATCTCCATTCTGTTGTAATCTCAGCTGAATAAATTTTAAAGCAATTGAATCCAGGGAACTGAATCCCATGCAATATTTCTCTTGTCTCTCTTTGCATGGGTAACAAAGGCCATTTCCAGGTTCCTCTGTATTCTAGCCAGGAAATAACAGGAGGATGGGGCCGTCTTCATTACTCTAGTTCAGTGTTGCACTAACGTGATGAAGCTGTAGAATCATTTACAGCACTGTTGGCTGGTTAGCTGTTGAACAGTTCCAATACCCACTGGCACAGAATTGCTTATGTTTAGCACTTTGGAAAAACAAGAAAAAAATAACAGTAGATCAGGCTAACCGGGGCTTGGAAGAAAAGGTGACAAAGTCGCATCAGCCTGAAATGGCCAGTAAGCGCCATCATTGGCCATGTGACTTAGCCCTGAGTGTAATGACTGGAGAAGCTTAACAGGTATCACACACCTTGCAGCTGTTACTGGATGCTGTCAATTCCAAAGGCAAACATTGCTTTTTAACCGCTGTATAGTTAAGGATAACTTATGCCTGTCTCATTCATGGGCTGCGGCGACAGCAGTGTCGTTTAGGTCAGAACAGAAAAAGACATCACAGGATATCTTTGTGCCATGACTACAAATAAAGACACTGTGTAAGTCTTTACAATTGATAAAAGAAAATGTCAGCAAGACAAATTGGGAATTTCCTAGAAGATTCATGCTTTGCAGAGTTTCTCTATGTTAATCTAAGTACCAGTATATATTATAGTTTCCTTTGCCAGTAAATCAAGTTTATTCCCCCTACACTTATTATTAGTTCTTGGACAATAAAACCATTACAGCCACATTCCCTAATCCTTCTACAGTATGAAAGTCTATATGTGAAGCTCTTAGTTCAGGCGTTTTATTTCCAGCCCCCTGGAATTCAATTTAAAACCCTCCTGATCAAGTTCAGAATGTTTCTACTACCAAATATTTTACCAGTTCTTATATGGTTCCATTTGCAATACTCGGTAGCAGATGATCCCAGGAGCAAAATCTCTCCCAACATCATCATTATACCCAGTTGTTTTATTTGAAATATATATACTGTTTTCACTAAGTAAACTATAGCTATACTATTAGGGATTCTTTGCTTATGTATTTCTGATTCATTGTCAGAAACATTATAATGCTTGTTTTCCCAAAATAAATAAATTTTACATGTACATGAAGTAGTAAGGAGAGGGGAGATGCAGCATCTTGTTCTACATTCAGTCCTGAAGAAATGAATTATTTATCTATTCTGGTTCTTGGTTCCCTAACAGCAAACCTCTGCCAAAGAACAATTTTAGAAAGTTGTTTTTATTAAGAAAGGATTAATTTCAAAGATATTACAAAAACTTGAATACTTCTCCATTCAATAATGTGGTTTTAGCTTATTCACTAAGCTTTACTATGATATTTGATACTAGACATTATAATTTGTACAGTATGTTTATAATGGCAGGGACAGCCAACCATTTTGTAGCTGGGGAAATTTTTCTTATGTTTGATGTTGAGTGGGCATAGTGAAATAATGTTATCATGCATCTATGTAGAACACTTTTTTAGATTGTTTTTTTTTAGGTTTATGTATTAGCCATTTAAGGTACAATAAGTCTATCCAAAAACTACATGTTTGTTTTTATTTCCACTGAAAATTGTAGAGACATTGTATTACCAATGCCTGGTTATCGGCTGTTAAATTTTGGTAGCACAGCCCCAATGGCTCAGGAGTTGCATGCAGTGCATTAGTATTATGCACGAACAAGTCAATATGGTTAGTTCGTCAAAGCACATTAAAACTTTATATGAATTTTGTATAGTATAGATCTCAAAGCTATCTGATTTGTTTTGGTCAGTGAATAATTTACCACAAGCATGTTTTTTTTCAGCTGACAGAGTAGTTCAATATTTTTGTTCTGTTCAATTAACCAAGAAGAATAAGAATCAGAATGGTTTTAAAGCAAGTGTAAGCATAAGTATAGTACATGACTAAAAATTCTATCAAGTGTTTCTGAAACACGGATGTCAATTGGATGAATATTTTTGGCATTAGCACTGGGACATTTATTTTTAGGCTCTTCGTTTAACCTGTTAAAGAGTGAGAGA